ATATGTCCTCGCTAACAGCACTTGCCCTAAATTGCTGTGATTGGCTACACAGGGAAGCATTGTCTCTGTGATGACTATTGCTGCATTCAGCCAAGCTTGTGGGGGTAGCTTTATGTACAGCGAGTGTGGCCAGCGTGCCAGCGTCAGTGTCAGCACTCACTCTAACAGCCTCCGAAAAATTCCGTGAAGTAGATTCAGTCAGTGCTGGTTGCTTTTGTACATTGACACGGGTGGGGTTTTTCGCACGCACAGCTGTGCCTCACTGAGCTTTACTGAGGTACTCTGACATGGCGCATCTGTTATTATATTAGTAGTAAGAATAAAACCCAACCCTGGTTCTCTGCTCGTCACCCTGGTCCGTATGTCTTTCTATTGCCCAGTTGGCACAGCGGCAGAGTGAGCGGCTCGCAATTGGAAGATTGCAAGTAAAAATCCTGGTTGGGGTTGACTCAGCCTATCATCTGGGTGTCGATAAAAATACGTACCACTTTGCGCGGAAGTCAACAGTGATTGTTATAAGAATCGCCCCCACCATGAGAATGTGGAATTTACCACCACTGGCTCTGCAGGGCTGCAAACAGGAGATGAGCACCGATGCCTCTCAATGCTCATTGGAGCAGGAAATCACTTTAAACTTTTGTCTTGAGAAGTGGTATTTAGACGTTCTGTAAATTAAAAGTTAATTGTAACTGTATTCATCTCGATGAATCGGCTGGATGAGTTGACCGGGTGTCGGCCGGGTGAGCACTGACCGTGCACTCTGACACCTGCTCCCCCACGTGCCAGGACTGATGCCGGGTGGCCGAGTCAAGCTACTCCACAGCTCCAGGATACAGCTGCATCCAACGTGAGCACAGTCTGCACCTCACCACGCCTCAACACATCACACTAAACTCGGCACAACTCATTACGCCTCGACATCCCTCAAACGACACTTTTAACACCTCACCGCATCTCACCATGCCCGCCAACACACCTCACCGCACGTGGTGAGGTCTGTTCGACGCCGCTGTGTTATGTTGCTTCTGTATCGTGTGATGCTGCCACTGTGCGAAGCTTCTGTATCATGTTGCTGTATCCGATTGCTGCTGGATTCTGTTGCTGCGCTGGGCAGGCTGTTTGGGAAGAGCCTTGCTCCTGTGGTGCAGCCCGTAACGTTGGGCCTGCACTTTCTTCCGTGCGACCCTGCCCACTACCTCATCATTACGGACACGGTGAGCAATGCTCGCCGCACCGTCAGCCCACACCACATTGAGCTCACTGCTCCAGCCGCTCACTGCTCCAGCCGCTCACTGCTCCAGCCGCTCACTGCTCCACACTCCCACTGCTTCACCCACTCACTGCTCCAACTTCTCACTGCTTTCGGCACCCATGGGCACACACGTGTGTATGCGGGTTCCCGTGTGTGTGCGCGCGAGGCAGGCGTACGTGCTCCGTGGTGCGCGCCCCGGGTACCGCTCCTCCACCCGCTCCTACCATCCCAGCCCTGGCGCCGGCTGCCCACTCTCCCGGCACGCGAGCACCTGCTCCATCTCTCCCTTCGGGCTGCCTCTGTTCCTCGTGAGTGTAACACAGAAGCACAGGCGGCTGGTGGCCTAACAGGACTTGGTCCCCCAAAACCTATTCACCAGCTCTAGCATTCAAACATGGCCTACAGAGTCAAACCACCTGAAGCCGGTCTTGGAGAGAGCACGAGGTCACCACTCGTACAGCACGTGGCAGACTGACGCAGTCGGGCAACCCGTGCCCTTGGCTGCGTCGGTCTTCCACGTACTCACAGTGTGACATTGTCTATCTTTGACAGTGTGCACTCCTTGGTATTGTGTACCACTGATAACCAACATGTCTAGTGCAGTGTTTCACTGATTCTGGTGCAGTGTTCCACTGATACAGAAGGACCTCTGGTGCAGTGTTCCACTGATACAGAAGGACCTCTCTGGTGCAGTGTTCCACTGCAAGCGTGCTGCATCTCCCTGCGTGTTCCCCGCGTTGTGCAGATGGGCAGCGGCGACGGTGGGATACGTCTGCACTCGCTCGGGCACGAGGAGCCCCTGGAGAGCTGGCCTGGGGAGCGGGAGGGCCTCGCGGAGAGCCGGGCCCTCCGCGCTGTGCGGTGGTCGCTGTCGCGCCCGGCCGTGTTCTTCGTGCTGGACGGCGCGGGGCAGGTCCGATCATGGGACCTCCTAAAGAGCCGCGGCGGGGCACTCGGCGTGGAGAAGCCGACACGTGGGTACGGTCGCCCCCTCCTCCCCTGCTCCACCCCCTGTCCGGGCCTGCGCCGCGCTGGCCGCCGGCGGTTAAAGTGGAGCGTTACGCAACGGTGTGTGTGTGTGCCAGTAAGAAAGAAATGGGGCACGACGAGATCACGCCGTACGCACGCCTAGCGGCGTGTGCACGGCGTGTAACGGAATTTTGCGTGAAATTGAGGTGTAATGCCGAAATATTCGTGAGGCGTGCACATTTAAATTGTCTCATTGTTTATTTTATTTTTTTGTTCATTTGAGCTATCTCTTTAAGGTTACGGTACCATTTACATATGGTACATACGATATGCACACACGATACAACGTCGCATCCCCAACCATCACATATCCGCCTCGAGTGATTAATCACCTACATCCAGTGCAGGTATTGGTGCGCGATGACACATTTTTTTTTTATTGACGTTCACAACTCTTGACTTTTCGATAATAAAACTAAACTATTTATTTTAACAGGGTAAGGCCCGCTGAGCTATATAGATATTTTTTAGAAGTGACCCGGCCACAAATGATAGCCCAATATACAGGTTTCAGGGTCGGGATCGAACCCAGGATCTCCTCTATACCAGGTGAGGGTGATAACATCTCACCACCGCGACACCCCACACACAGTAGGGTATGTTTAATCTCACATTAATTTGCTCACTTCTCAACAGCAGTAAAATATTTCCTCATGTTTAAAGCCATCTGTGCCTTGCTTTGGTCCAGTAACCTTATCTGCGAGTCAGATATGCGACAGTGTCCTGTAATTTGTAGAAATCGTAAAATAATTGTTCTTACACACATGACTTGATGCATGTGTCACAGGCTTGAAAATCAATTATAATTGCTGATTTGATGGATCGTTAAATGCTTAGTGCTCAGCATTAACACTTTGCTATCCTTAAAACAAAAACAATTTATTTTTTCTCACGATTATATTCCAGTTTTACTTTTAGTGTCGCGTCACGAGCTGGAGAAATTTCCATTTGCAACTGTAACAGAATTCAGCGCATTGTGCAACGTGAGAGCAAGTCCTGTGCGGATGATGACGTCAAAGCACTACAAACATGTTGGGTATTGGCCCCTCTTCAAAGTGGATTATATATATCCTGAACTGTCACGCAGTGTTCATGATGAAAAGGGTGATATTTTAAATGTTGTTTTTGATTGCGTACCACCGCAACTGTCCACTTAACATTTTGATTTTAATCGCAGAGCTCCAAGGGTCCTTTCAATTGCCTCGTGCACCCACCAGGTAGTGCACGGTCTCGCATGCCCCGACTGTCGAGGTGCTTGTCGCATGGCAATCAAGGCAAACGTCGTGTAGTCGTCAAAAGCTGGAATATGACAAATGAAGTGGGGAATAAAATGGCAGTGCTTGTTCTGTGCGGTCATTGGCGAGTGACCCATACATGTGATAGACTGGAGAAACCTGGCTTAGTAACGGTTGCCCAAATGTGAACCCACGCTCAGGATTGACACCGTGCTTTGACTTTGGCGTGAGTCACCTAAGCCACATGGCCACCTCGCGCTTTTTAGCCTCTTTGATGACTCCTCAATTCACCAGAAGTAAACCTAACATTCCAGAGCCATAAACAATCGGACAAATCAGCATAACATATATCTGCGCTGCTGTGGTTTGTGGTCATCTGGGTTTTGTTGAATGATGAGTGTTATCTGGGCTGTTTGAATGTTTCTGAATGAATGTGCCCATATCAAGCGTCTGCTGTGTTTAAATGTGTTCTCTCGGATTGTGAGCTGTGGTACTGCTGCTCCAATTCGGGCAACGTGAGTTTGATTCTCAGCAGCCGTGGATAACATGTGACACATGGCATCCAAAATTGTCCTAGGTCTCCAATTAGGGTTGCCACCTATGAAGTAAAATAAACTGGGACGCATTATGGGAATATTTTCCCCAGTACTGGAAGAGGGGATGACTGCATGGTAAGTGCATCGTCTTGAGTGGTGTATTGCTATGCAACTGACGAAAACTGAAGTTTTTAATGTCCAGGGAAGACTTACAGATTTTGCAAATCAGCTCCCTCAAAAACATGATCCTAGGATAGGTGGAAACCCTACCTTCACTCAATCTACTCAGCCTTAAATGAGTACTTGGTGTGATGCGCAAACCACAGCACTATAAACAAAAGGCGTACATGCTTACTACTGGCCAAATCAGCCCTTCGTGTGTTGTGCCAGCCTAGCCTATACATGTGCTCCACCGAACGGCACCAGCCTCAGCAGTGTTTAACGCTACATGCGGGGACCTGTATCTCCTACGGTGTGGCAGGGTGGTGGCGATGGCTGCGTTTGGAGACCCGGAGAAGCCAGGCCTCCCATCGGGCCTGGTCCTTGCCAAGGAAGGTGGAGCTGTAGAGGTTCATCAGCTGTCTTCCAAATTGTCCACCCCGGACGAGGATGAGGTATCCCGGCTGGAGACACTACTCCATCAGCCGGCGGCATAGGTCACCTCTGGCCTCAGGGAGTGACCTTCTTGTGGCACCGGCGGTGTTACCACCCCTGGCTGTGTGTGCCACTGTTCAGGGTAACGTGCGAGACAATCGGTGCAGCAGCAGCAGCACTTCCCCTTCAGAGATGCTGGGATGCAGTGAGGCTCGGAGCAAGGAGATTATAGATCAGGACTTTATACTGTACATGCATTGGTAAATCACTTTAGAAATGCCTCCTCCTCCTTTACAAAATGTTGTTTTTTTAACTAGTTATCCTTAAAACATATTCATAGGTTTCAAACGGTAGTCCACAGAGTGTATTTAATGAGCATACGATACATTTGTAAATACATTTAATAAAAATACAATTTTGTGATTTGTCACAAGTGGCGATGTAAAATAAACACATGACGCCCATCATATTGCTGTGTGCATTGCCGTGCGTTCAGGTGTGACGGTGTGCTGCAAGCGGTGTTGTTTTGGCACGCAGTGTGATGCTGTGTGTTGCAATGGCTTGTCTTAGTGCTGTCTTTTCGAGCTGCGGTCGGTGTAATGCTATGCAGTCTGTGCCTTGTGGGAGGGATCACATTAAGAGGCATTGAACAATTCACTATCGCCTTCGGCCATTCAATTAATTGTCGTGTTTCGGTGACACGATTCAATTGAAGAATCCATTCTTTTGTTCCGTCCCATTTGATACAGCCACCTGCACTGTCCCATTTGTTGTTTTGTCTTGTTTTGACGTGTTTGCCTTGTTGCTTCGCTTAGATGGTTCTACCATCCTGCACAGTTAATCGTCCATTTATTAGAGACTTTTGATGCGAGTACCATGAGCGTACAAATCGAGTTTTAATTGATGAACAGTTTGCACGTTCTACCCTTCAGGCACTCTGTGGAAGCGACATGGACCGCATGTGCTCTGCCCGTTGGCTGCAGGGCAGGTGACGGGGAGACAGACAGATATCTGATTATTCACTCTTCCTCTTCAGATGCTCAAGCAGCCCTGTGCCTTGAGCACAGGGTGTTACTATGTCACTGAGCAGCACGTGTGTGTATGCGCACACGTGTGTGTGTATGCGCGCGAGCGAGGCTGCGAGGCTGTGCGCGAGAGTGCGCGAGAGTGCTGTTGTTGGATGATAAATATTATATGAAAACCATGAATTCATGCATTTAATTTTTAGCGAAGAAATTGACAAAAATGATGAGCAATGTCATCCTACCTATAGTGTGTCTCACCACACTCCATATTTCCACATTATGCTTCTCTACACCAAATCTCACCCTACCCAGGGGAGGTGGGAAAGGAGGAGAGGGCGGGAGGGAGGGGTCGGGGACGAGGAAATGAGTGGATTGGAGGAGAGAGGTGGCAGAGCAACGAGGGAAGAGAATGGAGGGGTGCAGTGGAGGTTAGGAGAGAGATGGCGGATAGAGGGTGGAGAGAGAAGTTAGTGTAACGCAGGGAGGAGGGAGGCTGTGGAAGTAGCCCGTGATGAATTGGGGAAGCGACGCTGTTACATACATGGGGCCAGTGGAGCGCAGTGTGCATACGGCAGCAGATGTGAATGGGGGAAATTACGACAAATTGGCCAAACATGGAGAAAATGCAGCCGCATACACCTTCCTCCATATGCACAGAGAGAAAGACCCCTCCGTATTGACTGCTGGGGCTGGTGGCGAGCACCTATTGCACACGAGAGGGTGGTGTGACTAGCACCATGCCTGAGCTGATGTTTATACACCTCAACATATAATTACCTAAGGCGGAGGAAACAACCTAGACAAAGCCCAGGACATATTAAGATATGACTCGCAACATTTGTCAGCCGTGGCCTGGGATCGAACCCAAATCGCCGGGTTCGTAGCGCAGTGTGTAAACCACTACGGCACCATTCCCTATACACCAGCACACACATGCACACTTGTACACGATTGTGTAAGCCCAACAACAATGGTAGCAGCTGAGCACTATTGTAGATCTTGGCCAGAATCGGAGCTCCCATGCTGAAGCGAATGGGGGGCCCCCCTGTTGGTGAGAATATCCCAAGCACAGAGGGGTAGCGTGTGATGTGAAGAGAAGCGTAATGTGGTAAATCAAACCTCTCCGCTCCCTGCACCAATCCCATTTTTAGCCCGCCACGTCGCTGGCGTGCAAACAGCATTCCCTTAGCCCCTTCGCCCACACGACCTCCACCCCGCCACGTAACCGGAAGCGGTTTGACCCTCCGCCCACTCAACTGCGCTCCCTCTGCACCTCGGTTACGCGGTGCTTCACCCTGGTGTCATTCGCACAGGCTTTAGCGTGACAACGTGCTGGGTAAGGTCACGCATATGACCGTGTGGTGAAACGGTGGTCTCCTTTTCTGTGGTGGGGAGTTGATCAGGTCACGTTTGCATGTTCATGTGAAGGTTGGTGAGTGAGCCAGTGGACGACCTCAGGAGTCGCTTCATGTTAAATATATGAAACGCTGCTGGTGAATGATCGAATCGGGCAGTGCTGTGTGAACGCGGTCAATGGTTTGAGGGGTGGTGAGGGCGTGTAAGGAGGCTTAAGGACGTGTGGTGAAGTCACGATTAGGGTTATGCTTCCGCACTGCACGCAATTTTGTGCCTGTTGCCCAAGATGCCAAGGGCAATCACCGCACGATGCCGCCGCCGCCACCACCACCACCACGGAAAGTGCCCCCTTTCATGCGGATCTCCATTCCACTGCACATGAGCGATATGACACCCAGAGCCCATCGACTACAGATGCTGGAATCAAAGATATGGCTGGAGCCAAAACAGCACGACTGTGATAAATTTGAGCGTACGCTCAGGCGTGGCGTAGATGCACCGCAATCATCGTCCTGGCTGTGGGATGGGTTAATAAGACGGCGATCACCCAGTGGGAGCACACACTCTGGGGAGAGCAGCGATTCTTTGAGCGCGAGTATAAGAGCGCATCCGCGCATCTAACACAGTTTTACAAGCGCGCCCTGATTCTACAAAAAAATCAATCCCGGTGACAACAAAGGCTCAAGACACAGGCACTGAGGGTCATGTGGCCCGGGAATGGGGTCTCTCTTGTGAAGTAGGATGCACATGACCCAACCGATGTCCGTTTACATTGCCCAGCGTAGCACACGCACCAAGTCATAACACCCTCGAGCACATTCACCTGGTTATAACGCCCAGCGCAACGTACATGCACGCACAGTTACAATGCTCGGCACAGTTACAATTCTCGGCACAGTTACAATTCTCGGCACAGTTATACTGGTAGGAACGAAGTTGTAAACTGAGTGTACCAGCCTGCAATAGATTAATGTGTCCGTCCGTCCGTCCATCCGTCCCCTTTCAATACTTTAACGAAGTGAAATCTCGTGCTGTTGGGTGTAAAATCAGCAATAGACAGCGCAGCGACTTGTCCTACCAGCCCACCCTGCAGGGACCTGTTAATGCTCGGCACAGTTACAATGCTCGGCACAGCTATAATGCTCGGCACAGCACGCTCGCTCGGCTATTACCCACAGCAATTGCAGGTGCTCCTCGATCCACCCACAAACACCAACAACGTCCACATCGCCAAGAGCCTCGTGGATTCAATCAGAGCAGCATTCACTTTGCAGCACCACTCGTGCTGCTCCCATCACACTCCAGCGAGGAAGTTCTGGCGTGGCGCATTTGTCTCGTGGCGTTCGCGTGATGCCTGGCGCTCACGGTGCAAGGGTTTGGATCTCGGAGGTCGCCCAATAAAAACCAAATCGGTCCCCACGCCCCGCCGTCCCCGGCCCCACTCATGGCGCTTAGCGATGTCTATCGGCGCACAGGAGCTGCACCAACAGAACGGCCGCTCCCTCCCTTGGCTTACCCCTCCCTTGGCTTACCCCACTCTCCCGTCGCCAGTCCCCCGACCACGCACCATTGTCTCTTCTCGCGACCCCTCCCTCCCGTGGACGCTTGCTTTTTTTCCTAACAGTTAATATTAAACATTAATGTCCACTGGCTTCAAATGCAAAGCCATTTTTGGGAATTGGTTGTCACCTCTTTCAATGAGGCACCTCTGTGCCAATTATTCCCTGGAGCCAGTTTTGGCCAAGGGGCAATAAACCCATCGTAGGTTGAAATGTAAAATGGTGGCAGCTGCTGTGGGTGTTGTTCAAAAGTTTTGAAGAGATATTGCATACTACATGTGTTGGGATGTCTCTCTGATAAAAAAACAAACTCCATATGTAGACCAAGTGTATGATGTCGTGCAGTGGCGCAGCATTACCCCACCTATAGGAGGCTACCAAGCCCTTTATTCGCAAATTTCCCGGCACGGTATCCTTGCCAAACCCGCCGGGCAGTGAACTGGTTAGTGGGTTCGTGGAACCATTTGTGCTAATCTTTGTTATTCCCCCTTGTGCGTGGTGATTTCTTTGTCCTTACGCTCGATATTTTCTTTCACTTGCAAAGCATTACATTTGAAGGCTACAAGGAAACGTACCGAAGCAAGACTCCACCTGATAAAGAATGCAGAAATGCAGTGAGGCTTTCCTGGATGAATACATGCATTCGTGATGATTATCATTAAGTGGGTGTATAATAAGTGGGTGTAGTGTGGTGGTAAGCCTGGTGATAATTATCCAGACCAACATTCGCCTGGGTTGCAGTAGCAATAAAACAGCATGTGCAGGATGTTGCAAATGTACAGCCCTCTGCCAATTCACTGCTGGATAAGGGCCTTCCAAGGCCGAGTGGATCTTGAAGGATATTTGACCATACTTCACCACGCTGCCCAGTATGGGTTGGTGAAGATGGGGAGCATAGCCGTGCGAGCAACCTATGACAACCTGCAATGCATGGCGGTCACCCATATAAGTATCTCTGAGACCTGATGAGATTGGGCGCATTTTTGGCCAATCGGTTGCAGGCGTGCAGGGTTTAACACCACTCAAAACTAACAGAGAACATTCTGCGCAAACGTTGGACATGGGTCCAACCCAGCGTCTGGGCACATGCAGGTAACGGAGGCGAAGGGTTACGGTCAGGGCAGGAGGAGCGTGTGAGCATCGGTTCACCCGTCACACCCGTGGGCCCGAGTCGCTGTCCGGCAGCACGAACGTTGCTGCCACCATGCTGGGAGTGAGCGCTATCCCCGGGGCGCCCCCTCCAATGCTCTCCTGGTCCTCGGGCGACAGAGCTCGCTGGAGCACCAGCGCTTCGCCCAGTAGCATCGTCGTTGTGCCCGCGAGCATCGTCCTGTACGCGACACGGTGGGGTCAGCTGCAGGTCACGGCGGCAACTCGTCCAGTGCAAGCGGACTTCACAGCGGACGTGAACTTCGTCAAGGAGCACGCTGTCGTGGAGGTGTTCGCGGCTGTGTTGTACGGCTGCGCTACAAAACCGGGGTGACCCGAGTTCGATTCCCGCTCACGGTCACGAGTGACGATTATCTGAACCAGTCCCGGGCCTCCACTAGGTCGACTCAGCCTCGAATTAGTACCTGGTGCTGTGTATAAGCATCGCCACTGGGCAGACAAAGGTGGTCGGGCTTGATGCTGGCCACCCATGCTGGCTTTTATAGGTGTTCTCGCTCGCAGCACTTGTCCCAAAAGTATCTAAAGGCTATATATATAAAGGGGATCTTTGTCTTTATTGTACGGCTCCCTGACGTTATTTTGGATCGTACCGCGTTTTGTCCGGCACTATGTCTGACGTCACGTTCCACGCGCTCATACGCTTTTTCAGGAGCACGTGGAACGAAACGTCGGACATCAAGCCAAACAGCATGCGGTACGACCCACAAAAACATTGGAGAGCATTTGGTATGCTTCAATGTGGCCGGGCAGATCAGGGGTCAGAGGAATGAGATGGTGCCACTGAGAGCCTTGGTTTGAATTTGGGGGCAGCCACTTGTGATTAGTGTAGCGAGAAGTTCTCAGTTCTCACTAGATGTGTAGTGATGATCTCAACCGAGTCACCAATGACTGCACAAAAAAAGTTTTTTTGCTTGCTTTGTGGTAAAAAAATCCCACCTAGAATAAAAACCCCATCTATTTCACTGCCATGTGAGTAACATCTCTGTAATAACGTGCACGGAATTATCTGGTGCCTTCTACTGGATAAGAGGTCACCAGAAGGTGTATCAGAAGTAGTTCTGCAATATCACCCTCTGCGGGCCATTCTCTAACACGGACAAGGCATTTCATCGCATGGCACGCCGCCAAATGAAATAAAATTGGGCAAAGCACAAACAGACCGTGCTGAATTTAGCATCCCCGGTGTCAACACGGGAACGAGGAGCGCGTAGTGGTGGTGGCGCACAGGTGCAATGATCCAGCACTTCGTGGGCACGGGGTTTGGTGGATGCTGCTCGTTGGTGAAACCCTGAAAGCCGCTGGGCTTCGAGGTGGCATGGAGGCGGCAGGTGGCTGTGTGACGGAGCTTGTGTGGCTCTTGGGGTGTTAATCCGCCCGTCCGTGTGTGAGAGGTGTGTGGGAGGTGTTCTCCGGGTGCTCTGGTTTCCTCCCACACGTGAAACTTTCTTTAAAAAAAAAAAGGACAAATTCCTTTTCCAATGCAGGACCCTCCTGAAGACGAAACTGAGTGAGGAGTTTTTAGGTAAATGAATAACTAAATCTTGACTTAAAGCTTTCGTGACTGCAGGGATTCATTTTCTTTTTCTGTAAAGTCACGTAGGTAGGTTCAAAGAAAATAACAAAAAAAACTACAACACAAACGTTCGTCATCTTCTCCACCTGATGACATCTGCTTGTGTTGCGATCGAAACGTCGTTTTTTGTTATTTTCTTTAAATCTATCTATGTGCCTTTATCGAAAAATAATATGGAAATGAATAACTAATTATTATTGTTATTATACAACTCGTGTGAACTCCTCGGGGCGTCAGGGCGGTGCTGTGGTGACACTTGTGTATCACAGCAAGAAGGGATTGGGTTTTATTCTCAACTCGGGTGCCTTCTTGTGTGGAGTTTGTATGCTCTTCACCTGTTCTACATGGAATTCCTCTGGGTTCCCTATCTTTCCTGGCATAGCTAAACAACAACAACAACCGCCATTCGCCACTAAGTGGCGGTGACGTCACCACGACGCTTGTGCCAGGCCATGTGCACCTTGAGACATGGCTAAAACACACACACAGACAATGTAACTGGTATTGGCCAAACATCCCAAAGCAAAAAAGTTAAATACCTGCAAATTACTTAATTGGGATCACACACAGCAGCAACATAGGCCCCATACTCATTAATTTTATTTAGTTAAATTTTATTTTATTACTACATACGTGACTTTACTGAAAAAATTATCTATGTGCTATGTGCGTGATGTCCCCCTATGTGTTCCCCCCGCTATTTGTTTTACACCTGATGATGATCGTTTGTGTTGCGTTCGAAACGTCGTGATTTGTTTTAATTTAATTTAGTTAAATTTTATTTTATTTCTACATACGTGACTTTACCGAAAAGAACAATGAGTATAGTAATTTCTGCAGTCACGAAAGCTTCAATTCTATATTAACATAGGCCCCCTACAGCTAAAACGTGACAGAAGCCTCCCAAAAAAACAATCTTGAGACCGAGTGAGGCTTTCCTTGTTAAACAAGCATCATAAAAGGAAGATTAATAATACAAATAATAATAACAAATAATAACCTAGACCCGTATAGGCATGCCCAGTGTGAACACGTCCACGAGAATAACAGCTTGTGTGATGCAAGGCAGCATGCAGCGTGAACATCGTCTCATGAAAAACACCACCATGGCCAGTGCAGGCAAACTGCATCTGCATAGTGAACACTCAATCAAGCCTTTATGGACACATAAGCGACAGTCCTATTATATATAAGTAGCGTGAACACCTACACCCGTAGAGGCATACCCAGTATAAAAAAAAAAAACCTACACTTGCATAATCAGCAGGGGGTGAGGGGAGTGGGGGTTTAAAGGCCTCTGCACAGCAGGCGTGGCCCAGGCCACCACATCTGCAAACAGAACACCACGGAACTTAATGCCAGCACACTTACCCGGTGCACCGTGCCATGGGCTGTAACCGCCTGCAGCTATATCGCGACCACGCACCGGTGCGAAATCCACGCGGGGCTTCTAACAAGCGCAACAAATCTCACGAGGAGCGTTTCACAGCAGCGTGCGTCCGGCCTCTTGGCTGTGCATGTGCTGGTGGTGAGGGCGTTGTGTGAAGGTGAGCGGTACCAGCTGGGCGTGGTGGAGTTGGGCTGTGAAGAAGAGGTGAAGAAGAGGAGGCCTGGCGGCAGGAACCTCTGCCAGTCCATCGCACCCCTCCCAGCATCCTGAACCCACGCGGCGGCACACGTGATCACTCCGCAAACTCAACGTACACAGCGCACTCATGCAAAGACCACCCACCAAAACAAAGACGAAGATCCCCCGTGTAGCCTCTAGCAGACTGTTAGGGAAAGGGCTTGAAGCGATCAAGGCCAGCGCGGCGCACGAGAGGGCAGCTATGGCTTACGCCCCCCGATGCGAGGAATGGAACGGGGCCCCCAGCGCTCGATCGCTGTCCCCTCTCACCGGAGCGCGTTTCACACACGCGCGTCTCCAAGGAAATAGGCCGAGGTGTCTTCGTGCCGCGTCTGCAGATCACGTGACACAACACCCACCGATCACAGCCACACTGCTGCAGAATGTTACACTGCCGCCCTGGACAGACGCCTACGTTGCCTAAATCCGGCAGTGCCAGGGTCCCCAGCCCTGACAATGCCGGCTGGCCGGTGCCTATGCTCCTCCTGCCTGTGCTGCCCTGGTGTAGTGGCACTGCCAGCACGCTCGATGGCTATGCCAGTGCTGCCGAAGGGTTCGTAGCAGAAACTGAGCGTGGTGGTCAGGTCGCATCGCCGGTGGCCTTACCCTGCTTGTGAAGGCCCTGCGTTGGGTCCGGGGCCTCCTCGCAACAGCCCCTGGGCCCCATGTCATCCCGCCACTAGGAAGCACGGCGTCAAGATGGACGTCCACGTGAGGCAGCATTGAGACACGGGCCTGAAGGCTGGGCGCTGCGCTCTGCACCAGTGGCAACGCGGGAGAGTGCAGCTCATACAGCGGCGCTACGCAACACCAACATAGCACAGTACAAGCTCAACAAAGCTCTACTCAACATGGCAAACCAAGAGGAGGCCAAATGCCCATTCAGGTCAGCTCCTACAGAGCTCCCTCTTGTGTAGGCAAGTAATTTAAGAGCTGCGCGTTTACCTTTTAGAGCAAAGGCAGTGTCATAATAACCTCACTCGACACACCGAACCACACTTGGCACGGCACATCATCACCAAAGCCAAAGGCCCTCCACATAGCTTTAACAGACTGTTGGGGCAAGTGCTGTTCACGAGCACCTATAAAAGCTGGCACGGCATACGAGGGGGTTGGTGGTCAACACCACACCCGGCTATCTTTGTCTCCCCAGTGGCGATCTTCACTAACCGCACCAGGTACTCCTTTGAGGCTGAGTCGACCTAGGGGAGGCCCACGACCGATTCAGATATCTGTCACTGATATTCATTGTTCGTGAGCGGAAATCAAACTCGGATCGCCGGGTTCGTAGCGTAGAGGGCTGACCACTGTGCCACCGCTGCCCACATCATAACCTCACGCACACACACACATACACACGCACTGTCGTGTGACAGCGACTCTTACGAAGAGTAGTGGCGAGGGGTGTGGGGGGGTTAGGAGCAGTGTGGCGGGCGGTGACATCAAGTTGGGACCGCCATCAGGGTCTTGGGTCGTCTCACGTCCTCGCTCCGCCTGCTCCGACTTCCCCAGACCACCGACAGTCGGGTACCCACTCGGCTGCTGCTGCTGCTGTTGCTCCTCCTGTAGACAAGATGACGCCAACAAGACCATTAATGCTTCGTTAAGCTTGAATAACCTTGGAGGGAAAGGTGCTGTTAGCGAGCACATCTCAAAGCTGCAATGGGGCAAGGCGTTGCCGGCACCACGCCTCGCCGCCTTTGTCGCCCCCAAAGTTGGTGTTAACACACCACATTAGGTCCTGGTTGGTTTATTTAAGTCTGAGTCAACCTAGGGGACGGTCATTTTGTCAATCCACTGATATATTAGGGCGTCCCAATGCCATGCGGGTCGTGTGGGTTATTTTGATCATACGCCACTGCCCCTGTACATGGGCTGGAATCGAACCCAGGTGACCTGGTTTGTAGCACGATGTGTGAACCACTGCGCCACACTGCTCCCCGCACAGAATGGCTGTGTTGCCAATGCAAGTGTTAATCCGAAACAAAAACAATTTGGAAATAATTTGCATACATTTTGCTGTTGTTAGGATCTCGCAAAATGCAATAAAACCCAAATAAATCTCGGGCCCCTGGGCTGCGACCCATGAAGCCCCTGCGTTAATATACATAATACACGCACCACACACGTGCACCAACGCAAGGCAAACTCCACCAAAACACTACAAATAGACCAATTACACAACAGCAGCCCATACATGTCCAACGCACCACACCATCCGCATAAACCAAAGCAGCACGTACGTAAAATACAACGGTAATGGTAATAAGAAAAGCAATGATGTCAAGTCATTGTATCTGTTTATGCGTTTCCATTTTAGAAGACGGGGAGCCACTCAATCGACACGACTAAAAATAGCGACGTCTTTATTTTGAGAGAAAAAAAAAAACTCAACACGCTCAGCAACAAACACCGTGTGGCCTTTAAAAAAAACAAAAATATGTATAAACAGCGACGTTTTCGGCCTATGGCCCTTCTTAATAGCTCTTCTGCATAACGCATAGAAGGGCCATTCTCCTAAAACGTCGCAGATTTTATATTTTTTCTTTTAAGGCCAATGTTGTTGACGTGCATGTTGTTCCTATAACACACAGGCTTTTTTTGTGTTAGATCGCGTAAATCTGAATGTGTCCTTAAACCCACCACCACCCGACAGCCAATTAGTCAGTTCAGATTGAATCTGGCTGTCACCTGATGATGCTAGTTGTAATTACTTGGCGAAACGTCGTACTCGAATTGTAAATGTTGTGGATTTGCTCTCCAACACACCGGTGTGCTGTACTAGTAACGAATTGGCACGCTCTATTTACGTGACAAACCTTACCAATTGGCTGCGTCGGGTGGTGGCGGGTTGAACGACACATTTATATTTATGCGATCTAACCCAAAAAAAAACCTCGATTATGATTTCGGTGTGATGTTAATTGTGCGTGTGCACCAATGCCAATGCAGCCGCAGCAGCATCACCGCATAATTTGTTTACTCGATGGCAATCAAGAATGTCGATGTGTTTCGTGAATTCATAGTGCAGTCAACTATGGCACAGCGGCTACCTTAAATGTCAGGCAAATAATGAATGACTTAACCTTGTAGGTGGCTTGGTAGTTTTGGTGGCGGCTGTTATTTCAGAGCACTGACCCTGTATGCGTCGCTGAAGGTGTATTTTTATCGTTGGGCTTGCTGAACTTCGCTAATTTTTGGGAACTGTTTTAATGTGTTGTCGTTAATCTGCACTAAAATATTGTGCACCACACTGCAGGTCCCACACACTCACCCACCAACTCGCTGACCCACACACTCAGCCACGCACTCACCCACACACTCAGCCACCCACTCACCACACTTCATGTGACAACACTTCTCTGTCTGCATCTTCTCTCGCACTGCTCCACTCTGCAATTCCCTCCTCCCATCATCTTCTCTGCTCCCCAAGCCCTAGCAATATTAATAATAACTTTGCTCAATTCAGGAAATGTGTTATACTCTTTGGTTCTTTCGTTAATGTCACGTAGGTATAAAATTAAACGTTGATGGTGTTGTTGCTTGCTGGCCTGTTTGACGTTGTGGATCTTCGGGCCTGTGTTCAGCGACTGTGGCAAAAATAAAATCATTGCTCACGCCCCCCAGGTCTTCTTTGCAAGAGGGGCGTTTGTCTCCATGGGATCTTAACTTGTTATAAACGTTTTACGTATTCGGTTTGTGAGCATATATGTATACGTACGTAGGTACGATCATGGATTTTACATGAAATGTATGGATTTATATTCGCCGAATTATTCCAATTGCACGGTTTTAAAGTTTTATTGGAGAATAATATATTTACGTACGGGGAACTTGACTGAAGAAAGGTGCCTTTAAGTTAATAAATATTTGATTGATTGATCGGTTTATGAATGTGTGCACGAGTGTGTGCATGAGGGAGTGCAGACGGAGCCGAGTCACCTGGGGCCTGGGTGGCAAGCTGCGGGGCGCGATCGGGAGGGCCGAGCGGCTGTAGGTGAGGAACGCATCGTGGACCGACACGGGGCGGTACCTGCCCAGCTGCTGCGAGTCCAGGTTCACCTGCTCCGAGCACAAGCACACGCGCGCGTAGGCAGAGAGATCTCCCGACTCGCCGCGTACGCCGTTAGGGCGATAGGGAGCACCAATGGGCACCTCCCAGTCGACGCTCGGGTATCCGTGGCTATACAGATGAATGCAAATCGTACGAATACTCTGGCAGGACTAATGGTGAGGAGATCGCGCGGAGCACAGTTTAACCTCGCCCGTGTCATCGGTCTATGGTTTAACCTCACTGGTGTCATTGGTCTATGGTCTAACCTCGCCCATGTCATCGGTCTATGGTTTAACCTCACTGGTGTCATCGGTCTATGGTTTAACCTCGCCCGTGTCATTGGTCTATGGTTTAACCTCGCCCGTGTCATCTGTCTATGGTTTAACCTCGCCCGTGTCATCTGTCTATGGTTTAACCTCACTGGTGTCATCGGTCTATGATTTAACCTCGCCCGTGTCATCTGTCTATGGTTTAACTTCGCCCGTGTCATCTGTCTATGGTTTAACTTCGCCCGTGTCATCGGTCTATGGTTTAACCTCGCCCGTGTCATCGGTCTATGGTTTAACCTCACTGGTGTCATCGGTCTATGGTTTAACCTCACTGGTGTCATCTGTCTATGGTTTAACCTCGCCCGTGTCATCGGTCTATGGTTTAACCTCGCCCGTGTCATCGGTCTATGGTTTAACCTCACTGGTGTCATCGGTCTATGGTTTAACCTCGCTCGTGTCATCGGTCTATGGTTTAACCTCACTGGTGTCATCGGTCTATGGTTTAACCTCGCCCGTGTCATCGGTCTATGGTTTAACCTCACTGGTGTCATTGGTCTATGGTTTAACTTTGCCCGTGTCATCGGTCTATGGTTTAACCTCACTGGTGCCATTGGTCTATGGTTTAACTTTTCCCGTGTCATCGGTCTATGGTTTAACCTCACTGGTGTCATTGGTCTATGGTTTGACTTTGCCCGTGTCATCGGTCTATGGTTTAACCTCGCCCGTGTCATCGATCTATGGTTAAATGTGCAACTGTGTAGAACTGATGAGGTGGTGGTGACAGGAAAGTTCCATCTCTAACCCCGCCTACTCCAAGCATATATAACCTTTGCTTGCGGTGGCTCTGCATTTGGCTCAAGCAGCTCTCTCGCTATATTTCTCTCAACGGTCCGCCCAGCTGTGTTTGTTCACCTGAGGACGATCGCTTGTGTTGCGATAGAAACGTCGTGGTTTTTTTTACCTTTTTATTATTTTCTATCTACGTGACTTTACCGAAAGAACCAAAGAATATGAATTCCTGCAGTCACGAAAGCTTTAAGTCAAGATGTAGGAAAACAATCCTGCAACTTTTTCGAAATGACTGATTAAAAACCACTTCAACTCGTAATGCGTCGCACGGCATTCGCTTACTCTCTAACGAGTCGAGAGGTGCGAGGAGGAACTACAGACAACCAGGAAGGTAGCCACGTGGTGAGCGGGTGTCAACAATTGCCCAAGCTCTGCGGTCCTCTATATATGAAGGTATTGTCAGCCAATAAATGAGCATTTACACGCGGGGGGAAAACGCATCACCCAGAGAAAACCCACATGTGCGAGGAGGAGACACTATCCCATCCAGACGGGAGGGGTGGAGTCTACATTGCTGTACCGCGTTCTGCTGGCGAGCCAGGCCACGGCACCTTCCCTGACGCCCACAGAAAGGGAGTTTCACAACATTCGTGCGATCCACCAACCCTTGCCTCCAGTGACGGATTACAGGCATGCACCACCACCGCCCAGCTAATTATCCCTCCTGTAAGAAAAATGTTGCCGTGATGTCTTTGATTATTGCTATTTTCCTAAGCACGTACTGTTTTGGCATGTTAATTGATTCTCTTGATTTCTGGATATCGTTGGGGGTAGGGGGGGGGGTTGGATAATTAAACTCTTCTCAAAATCTTAACACCTGCAGAAGGTGCGAGATTGCTGTGGACCCACCCACAGTTATAACAACCACCCACTTTTAATTCAAACATTAATTCGAATTGCGACAGGTACATTCAGCTTGGCAACATATTTATTGCTTAGCTGCATAGGAGTGGGGCTCAAGAAGTGTGATGTCCGGCAAAACAACCCCCTACCTCCTCGCGGTGCCGGACGGGCAACTCTGTCGTGGACAGCGCTGTGGGGGGAGATCCAATTTTGATTGGCTCCTCCCCTCATGGCATATGTGTCCACCACAGGGGCTAAACGGGGGGCTCTGGACGGGTGCGAGGGGCTGGTAACCCCTCCACCTTCAATTAATTACCACGAAACTACGAATTAAACTGAAATATGTAACAACTAAGCTTGTGCCGGAGGCCCCGGGGGGCCAGGCGTCTATGACGTCTCCTGGCCAAACCCCAATTGGCGGAGCCAGGAGATTGAATACCTACCCTCGGGGCTACTCCAGAAACAACGAAAAAGCCACTACGGTTGGCCACGTGGAATGTTCGAACGCTCACTGCAGAGGAGAGGCTGCCACTCCTCTGTCGGGAGCTGGACCGGTACTGCCTGGATCTATGCGGCATTCAGGAGGTCCGGTGGACCGGCTCTGGCTCCTGCCACCATGAGGGGTGGACAGTCCTCTACTCGGGGCAGCAGACTGCCAAACAACAGGGTGTGGGTCTTCTTTTGAACAAAAGAATGAAGGGGGCGTGGGAGCGTGGCGGTGAGGTGTGGGAAGCTGTAAGCCCCAGGCTACTTTGGGCTCGCCTTCCCATCAACCGGAGGCGAGGAATGGTGGTCGTGGTTACTTATGCCCCCACCGAAGATGAACATCCGTGGAGGGATGCAGGCAAAGCCGATGAGTCAGATGCCTTCTATGACCTCCTGTCACAGGTGCTGGCTAAAGTGGCCCCTCGGGATAGAGTCATCATGTTGGGTGACTTCAATGCCCGAGTTGGTCATGATACTGGCACCTGGTCTGGAGTGATTGGAGGGCATGGGCCAGATCAGCTCAATAACAACGGTAGGAGGCTGCTAGATTTTTGTGCAGCCCATGGGCTTGTAATTACCAACACGCTGTTCCGGCATCGGCGCATCCACACAACATCATGGATGCATGCCGGGTCCAAGCAAGAACATCTGCTGGACTACATAGTGACGGACCAGCGAATGCGAGCCCATGTCCTTGACACCAGGACCTACCGTGGAGCTGATCTGCCCTCTGACCATCGACTAGTCATCTGTAAGATGCGCCTGCCATTCTTCCACTCCGGTGGTGGGTGTACACCCAGGACCCCATTCCAACCTAAAGTGGCCTGGTCTCAGTTATCTGATGAAAGTTGCAAGCGAGAATTTCATCATCGCTTGCGGCTGGGATTGGCATCGTCCCCGACTCCTCCTGATGTCGAGGGTAAATGGGCGAGGTTTAGGACTGTGACTCATGCAGCTGCAATGGCTGCTTTGGGTACGCGGTCCAGACCTCCCCAGACACCCTGGATGACAGAGGAGTTGTTCACGATGGTTGAGAAAAAGCGACAGGCCCACTGTCATCGGCTACAGAATCCCACGTCAGAGAATGAGGAGGCTTACCGCAGCCTTCGCTCGGAGGTTCGGAGAGCCGTGAGGCGCTGCAAGGATGGGTGGTGGTCGCGGATCGCTGAGGAGATGGAGTCTGCCTCAGTGGCCCGTGATCACAAATCTCTATTTAACTCCATCAAAAAAGTAACCTGCAGCGCCACACCTATTACCATCATTAGGGGAAAAAACGGTGATCCAATTTCCGACCCCCAGGAACAGGTTCGCAGATTTGCTGAGCATTTCTGTGAGGTCCTGGGGGAGGGAAAATCCCTCAGCCAGGAAAACATCGTGGCACAAAGTGAGGATGACCCTGCTGAGGCTGCGGTGCCTCAAATATTGGATGAAGTCACCCCCTGTGAGTGGCTGGCTGAGGTGCCATCTGCTGAGGAAGTATTGAAGGCGATCCGGAGTCTGAGACCAGGAAAGGCAGCGGGCAGAGATGATCTCCCAAGCGAAATGCTGAGGGAGGGTGGCGTTTGTGCACAGACTGCCCTATATGACATCATAACAACAGTCTGGACCACTGGACGGGTTCCGCAGGATTGGAAGGATGCCCTGGTGGTCCCCCTTTTTAAGAAGGGGGACCGCACAGACTGTAACAACTACAGGGGCATCTCACTCCTCAGTGTGCCGGGAAAGGTCCTGGCAAGGATTATTCAGCATCGCCTTGCCAGGCACGCTGAGGAGAGGCTTGCGGAGCCCCAATGCGGTTTCAGGAAAGGGCGGTCCTGCACAGATGCCATATTTTCTGTCCGTCTGCTACAGCAGAGGTGTAGGGAATTCCAACAAGACCTACATCTCTGCTTTATTGACCTGGTCAAGGCCTATGATACCATCAGTAGGCCTGGGCTCTGGGTCGTTCTTCGTGCTTTTGGAGTACCTGACCCTCTGCTCACGATCATTAAGGACCTTCATGATGGTGAGCGGGCCCGGGTAAAACTACGTGGCCGGGAGTCAGAGCCATTCCCTGTACACCTTGGGGTGCGACAGGGATGTCCTCTGGCTCCCACATTATTTAACATCTATTTTGACCACGTAGTTCGTGAAGCCTTCAATAGCTGTACCGGGGGAATCTCCATATGGTACAGATATAATGGGAGGCTAATCGATGCCCGGGTGCGGTCAAGGGATGGCTCCCTATTGCTCAACCACGTTATGTATGCTGATGACTTGGTAATAGCTGCTCAGTCAGAGGAGGAGTTGGAGACGCTGCTGCTGAGACTGGAGCGTGCCACTAAGAGGTGGGGCCTTACCATCAGCCCCACCAAAACTAAGCACCTGCCTGGGTATTTTGTACCATCGGACACTCCACCCCCACAACTCCCAATCGGTGATGGGGCAGTTGTGGAGAGAGTGGAGAGTTTCCCATACCTGGGCAGTGTGCTTATGACTGGCTCCAGTTTAACAGCAGAGGTCTCACTCCGAATCAGTCGAGCGGCAATATCTTTTCATCAGTTGCGTAACGCTGTGTGGAAGCTACCTGGTCTGTCGCTCCGCACTAAGCTTCAGGTCTTCTCGGCCACGGTCATTCCCTCCCTTCTCTACGCTTGCGAAACGTGGACCCCCCTAATGGAACATCTTCGCCGCTTAGAAACATTTAGGCTGGCCTGCCTACGATCCATCCTGGGTTTAACCAGACTGGATTGCGTGAGGAGCTCACAAATCCTTGAAAGATCTGGGCAGGGTCCCATCGGTGAGCTCCTCCGGCAGGCAAGGCTGCGATGGCTGGGTCATGTAGCCCGCATGCCCAGCCACCGCATGCCGAAACAGCTTTTGTTTGGCCGGATTGAGGGGGCTAAGCGGGCGCGGCACGGGCTAGAGAAGAGATGGAGTGATGTGGTACAGGAGGACGTGGAGCTGAGTGGACTTGCCGATGACTGGTACCAGCGGTGTCAAGATCGGCCTCTGTGGAGGAGGCTCGTGAAGGATGCTACTGGGCAGTTGGAGGCAGTCGCCCTCCAACAACAACGGAGGGCGGAGGAGCGACGCTCACAACAGCGAGCGGAGCGCCGGGTGGCTAAAGCACAGCAGGTTGGCACAGTAGGGGGCACAGGTGGTGCATCAGCCAGTCATCTCAGTCAGTCGACCCGTGGCACCTGGGTCTGCCCCGTGACCTCCTGCCAGCGGGCGTTCGACACTTCACGTGGCCTCAGGGTGCACATAGCCTGGCACAAGCGTCGTGGTGACGTCACCGCCACTTAGTGGCGAATGGCGGTTGTTGTTGTGTTGTTGTTGTCTGATCGTATTGATTCTTTAAGTAGCCTGTGTGCTTGCCGACAAGTTTGTGCAAGGGTACTGCATCACTGACCCTCCACGAGCGAGGAGCGTTTAATAGTTAAACCAACGTGGATGTGAAGATTGTCGTTTTCAACAAGGAGGGTTAATCCGCAACTCAGATAAGCTGCCTCACCCCCTCTCCGTGCAACTGAGCGGTTAGGCTGGAACGGCACCCACGGGCGGACCAGGAGCCAGCATCGTGCTCCGTTGTCGTGGCTGATGTTCCCACGTTAAAGCAGCCACTCATTTAAGGCCGAGATGGCAGAGATGGCCCGGATTCAAATATTCTTTGCCACCGATGTTAACTGTGGCAGGGAACTAAACTGTTAGCACGGTTGATGAGCACGGTTGGCTACGTACTATGCAAAAGAAGTTCAACATATATACGTACGGGTTATAGCATAGCACTATAACCACTGCACCACTACTCTCTACAAATGCACACAAAAGACAAAGATTCCCTGAATAGCATGAACAGACTGTTAGGGCAAGTGCTGTGAGTGAGCACTTATGAAGGCCGGCACGGCACACGAGGGGGTTGGTGGCCAACACCGCACCCGGCTACCTTTGTCTCCCCAGTGCTGATGTTTACACGCTGCACCAGGTACTCATTTAAAGCTGAGTCAACCTAGGAGAGGCCCAGTACCAGTTTAGATAATCGCCACTGTTATTGGCCACGAGCAGGTATCAAATTCAGGTCGCGAAGTTCTTAGCACAGTACACCAACCACTGCACCACCGCTCCCCATACAAGTGCATACACACGTACATACGCGCACACAAGTGTACAAACACGCACACACAAGGATCCTTTCTATTGCCGTAGAGATTCTCGGGGCAGGTGCAGTTAGTGAGCAGCTATTTAGGCTGGCACAGAGCATGAGGGGGTGGCGTGGTCAGCACCCCGCCTAGCGGCCTTCGTCTCTCCAATGTTGATGTTACCAGATGTTACCAGATCGCACCAGGTTGCGAAGTCGATCTAGGTGAGGACTGAGGATCAATTCGGATAATCGCCACTGATGTTAGCCGTGGCCGGGGAATCGAACTCAGGTTGCCTAGCTCGTGGCCTAATGCGCTGGCCACTATGCTGAACACTCCACCCCCCTTGTGCACGCACGAGTACAAGCACGCGGGCACGCACGGGGGCACGCACGCACGCACGCACCCACAAGCGAACAAGGGCCTCTCCTTTAGTCTCTTTAGACCGTGGGGGCAAGTGTTGTTAGAAATGGTGAGCTTTTCTGGGGGAGGCCACGGTCAGGTTTAGAAGAGACGAATGGGCAACCAATCAAACGCGCTGGCTGGGGGTTGTACACGTTGAAGCTGTGCCGCTGAAATAATAGTGCACGGAGCTTATCGCCATGGCAACACTTCCAAGAAAACAAGACCATCTGAATCTGCGCGGCGTCTCTCAATGTGACCGCGTCTTGAGAGGCTGAGACACACACGCACGTACCGACAACACGGGCAGAATAAAATGGGGGAGCAGAGTGCGCGCCGTACCTTCAGGGGTAGGTACGGCACCTCGATGGGAATCCGCACTTCCGTTGGCTCGAGGAGCTGTGGTTGTGAGGGTGGAGAAGCCTGCGGGGTGGGCGGTGGGAGGACGAGCGAGGGCAAATGGAGAGGCGATGGGAGAGATATACAGATCGGAGGAGTGAAAAGAGATGGAAGGGGATCACGGGAGGAAATGAGAAAGGAGAGGTGATCGGAGAGATTCGGAGAACGTGAGAGAATGCAGAGGGGATGAGATTGGAGGGGGTGTGAGACAGAAGAATGAGTGGTGATGGGAGATGAGAAAGGAAATGAAGATGAGAGAAGACGGGAAAACAGAGATGAGATGAGAGGGAGTGGAAATGGGACAATTTATGAAAGTGAAAGGAGATGGGAGAGGAATATGAGAGAATACCGGAGAGATGAGAGGGAGAAGACGGAAAGGGAGAGTTGGGGGATGAGAATGAGAAGAGACATGAGAGAAGCAATGATGGGAGAGGACTAGATGTGATGAGAGAAGGAGGGAGGGAGAGGAGATGGGAGGGATGACTAAGAGAGGAGAAAATATAGCAGATGGGAGAAGAGATGAACGATCAGCTGGGAGAATGGGGAGCGAATGATGAGAGAGAGGAAGAGACAAAAAGGTTGGGAGATAGGGAAGGAAAAAAACCCATCAAGGAACATAATTAGGAATTGAGGAGAGAGATAATAATAATAACAACAGGGCTATCATTCGCATGTTTAATCCACTACATTCTATTGTTTAGAATTCATCCTCGCCACGGTCTCACGTCAAACGATGTACCATGCGTACCGGAAGCGGGCGCGTGTTCACGCATGCTCGTAACGTTGACCTTTATTTAACGGGTAAGTCACGCGGAGATTACCATCTCAAGCGAAGCAGAACTGGCCACGGGTGCATCGCAATATCAAGAGAGGCACGGCCCAGAACATTGCCAAACAAAGCGCGCGCGCCATCAGATTTGCCCCTCGCAGACTGCCCCGCTGCATGTTCTCCCACTGACGTTGAAAACTGCCACGCGTGGTGCAAGGCTGCGGCGCATTTGTACGCAACTAACCGGGCTGCCCAATACAATCTGGATGAAACCGTCTTCTTTGGTTCTTTCGGTAAAGTCACGTAGAATGAGAATAAAATAATAAAATAAAACAATAAAATTCTCACGACGTTTCGGCCACAACACCAAGCGGCCTTCTTCAGGTGAAGGAACAAAAAACTGTCGGGACGCTTGTGTTGTGGCCGAAACGTCGTGAGAATTTTATTGTTTTATTTTATTCTCATTCTACGTGGTGACTTTACCGAAAGAACCAAAGAAGATGAATCCTTGCAGTCACGAAAGCTTTAAATCGAAATTGAATGAAACCAGTCGCAAGGTTTGCCAGGTTTTAGAGTAACTGCTGCTGGGGAAGAAGGGTCCTGCAACTGAAGAATGCGTTCCTGTTATCACTTTCACGTCTCTTCCGACGAATTCAATTTATAATTATACTAAATAATAGGGTATATGAGTGGTGGTGCAGTGGCGAGTGCACTGCGTTACAAACCTGGTGACCGGAGTTCGATTCCCGGTCATGGATAACACCAACTGTGATTGATATCTGAACCGGTCCCATGTGAATCCTTTAACCAAAACCACGACTCACCAGCATGGTGAAGTATGGTCAAACAGCCCCCTTTGTGTTCAATAAGGAAATGGGGATGCCTTCAAGTAGTGAAATGGCAATGGGTGCAATATTTTAAATGTTAAATAAACACAAGACAAATTTTAATTAAATTTAAACAGGGTAGGTACTGTGACTGCATGCTCATTAATACTGGTATTATACTGAACACAGCGGCGGAAAATATATTGACGAATCAATTCTTACACGCATTTATTTGCATGTGAAGGAATTGATGTTTGATTCACATACGTTCATATATGTTGTATGTAGTGGGCTGAGATGATCCCACCAGCCTTGATCAAGTGGCTAAAGTCCACACGTGCTTCACATGTGCAGTGCCCTCTTTGCTCAATTGTATTTCCTAAATCCCACTGGCGCTTCGGGACTTGTACTTGTGCGAGGTGCGACATATCGAGTAACTAATGATGATGATAAATTCACCGCAATGTTTAAAAATAACCCATTTGGTAAATCCAATCGTGACCCTAAAGTGGGACAATTCACGGAATTGCGAGGTGGATGAATCATCGCAGCGACTTGCCCTAATAATTGTCCAAGTGATTTCCTGCTGAGATGGGCAGTGAGGTTGTGCTCACCTCTTTAGAGCCCACAGCCATTGGTGGAAATTCCACATTCCTATGGTGGAGGCCAGCCTATCCACAGGAAAACCACAAATGACTTCCCCACAAATCGGTCTGAACGTTTCCCGCTTGAAAAACTGCGCATGTTACAAAATGTTTATTATAAATATTTTATCGACCCCCGGAGGGATGATGGGCTAAGTCAACCTCCAACCAGGGTTTGAACTCACAACATATCGATAGCAAGCCGCTCGCTCTACCACTGAGCGACCGGGCTAGTTCTGGCATCGCCCGGTATGTATGTTGTACTTCTTTCGCGGCCGCATGTAGCCAACCCTGCTAATCAAAGGTCTCTCTCCACGAGAGATCCTTATGACAGAGTCTTGAGACTTTGTTTTTTTCCCCATGACGATTGTTGGAGAGAATGATTCTGCAGATCCGCACAGAGGGAGTCCCAATCCAGCACTGCAGGGGGCTGATGCCACAGAGTGAGTTCCAACACAGGCAGTTGGTGGGGGGTGGTGGGGGGGGGGCTGATACCATTCCTGACTATCGGCGCAGAAGAAGGAGCGACCTGTCACCATGGCTTTGAGCAGTAGAGCGGTGGTTCCCAACCTTTCTGGACCGCCGTGTAGTCAAAACTACAGGACGGTGTTTGTGAGAAAGCATCATATCTGCAACAGGTACGCAGAGCACTTCCCACACACACACACACACCTAAAGACAAAGATCCCCCGTATAGCCTGAATAGACTGTTGAGGCAAGTGCTGTTCACGAGCACCTATGAAGATCAGCATGGCACACGGGGTGGGTGGGTGGCCAGCACCACGTCCGGATGCCTTTGTCTCCCCAGTAGCGATGTTGACACACCACACCAGGTACTTATTTGAGGCTGAATGGACGTAGTAGAGGCCTAGGACCGGTTCAGATAATCGTCACTTGTGTTGGCCGTGAGCGAGAATCGAACCCAGTTCATAGCGCAGCGCGCTAATCGCTTCAAACCCACGTTCACACGCACATAAATCTTCATCTTGACGCATTCTTGGCCAATTCCCTTTCAGTAATAGATTTTAATCTCTGCGATGTGCTCGTAAAAATGCCAATAAAAAAATTCCAAGCATTCGGATAAACCGTGCATGTTAAACGTCCTTACAGGACTCCTATCAATGCATATCTCACATACGAGGGAGCGAGTTGTCACTGTTGTCATGTAAGGTGCACAATGGATGTTGGCAATGGTGGCTCGTATGAGGCTGCGTGTGCAATGCAGGGTACGCAAGAGGCCCTGCTAATACCGAACAGTCACCACGGGACACTCTTCCTCTCACCGCACAACTCCTTTCGCACCATTCTCACTCCGCTCAATAGCATCCTCATGCGGTCTGCGTTCAGTACAACGGAGCATCCTCACGCGTGCATTCCCCACCAGTAATATCAACTTCGACCGTCTCGTCTAAGCCATTCATAGCATCCTCGGTCTGCATGTGCAGGCTGTGTGCACCATTCACAGCATCCTCACACAGCCTGCCTATAGCAACGCATTGCATCTTCACTCGCACAGCCAGCACCTACCCATCTTAGCATTCTCACACAGCCTGTCCCCACTCAGTCTTCTCAGATAGCCAATCCCTACCCGTCATACAACCTGCACACAACCAGACTCTCTGGTCATAGCATGCTGAAATAGCTTGCCTTCACCGACCATAGCATCTTCACACAGCCAGTTGCTATGATTTATAGCTTTCTCACACAACCAGACCCTGATCACACAGAATCTTCACACAGCTAGCACTTGCGTTGCATCCTCACGAGAGCCAGACCCTCCACTCATAGCATCCTCACACAGCTTGAACCTAATAATCGTAGCAAGTTCGCGACCATCAAAAACAAATATCCCCTGTATAGCCTTCACAGAATATTCGGGCAAGTGTTATTAGCGAGCACCTATGAAGGCCATCATGGCATACAAAGGATGGGTGTGACTAGCACCACACTCGGCCACCTTTGTCTCGTTCGTGGCGACACTGAGTCGACCTAGGGGAGGGCCCAGGACCGGTTCAGATAATCGTCACTGGTGTTGGCCGTGAGCGGGAATTGAATTCGGGTTGCCGGGTTCGCAGTGCGGCGTGCTAACCGCGGCACTCACACACGCACGCGCACCTTCACGACTCATTGCACCTTCGCCCAGCTTAACCCCACTCCCTAACAGCATCGTCACGCAGCCATTCCCTACCACTGCCAGTGTCCTCAGATAGCCTGCCCCGACTCACCTTGTCCTCAAATAGCCTGCCCACTGCCACGGGCTTGAATGACACTGGAAGGATCCTCTCTATGGAGATTTTCAAAAGCCTCTCCTCTTCTTCCTCTGACTCATCTCCACTCCACGTCGCTTCCCTCTTCGCCGCCACGTGCCCTGCTCACGACACACGAGCGCACACGGACGCACACGGGCACACACGAGCACACAGGACCGGCACCCAGTTGTGATAAATGAGCCTATATACATCCTAGCTCATCAGACATTGATGCCAAAGCAAGCAGGGTTAGTAGTTCAATGGGCGACTGCGTGGGAATGAATACCAAATCTTGAATGCTTGGGTTGTAGTGTGTCAGGAGATGACACTGCAGCAGTGGAATATTTGATCTATCCGTAAGGAGCTTTAAGTGCCATCCTCTCGCAATGCGCGGGTTTCCTCCAGGTCCTGTAGCTTCCGTCCGCCCATTAACGTAATTGGCTGAACATCCCAATGCGGGATCCTTTTGAAAATCACAAATAAACTCAGCGAGGCTTTCGCGGGCAAATAAAGGGTATCATTATTTCTTATTGTGATTATTTAGCGTCCGTAGCAAGCGTGTACATTTGCATACAAGCAACAGAGGGCGGTGTGCGTATGTGTTAGTTACATCTGGCCGTGAGCTAGTTACATCTTGCCGTGAGCTAGTTACATCTTGCCGTGAGCTAGTTACATCTTGCCGTGAGCTAGTTACATCTTGCCGTGAGCTAGTTACATCTTGCCGTGAGCTAGTTACATCTTGCCGTGAGCTAGTTACATCTTGCCGTGAGCTAGTTACATCTTGCCGTGAGCTAGTTACATCTTGTCGTGAGCTAGTTACATCTTGACGTGAGCTAGTTACATCTTGCCGTGAGCTAGTTACATCTTGCCGTGAGCTAGTTACATCTTGCCGTGAGCTAGTTACATCTTGCAGTGAGCTAGTTACATCTTGCCGTGAGCTAGTTATAGCTTGCCGTGAGCTAGTTACATCTTGCCGTGAGCTAGTTACATCTTGCCGTGAGCTAGTTACATCTTGCCGTGAGCTAGTTACATCTTGCCGTGAGCTAGTTACATCTTTCCGTGCGCTAGTTATATCTTGCCGTGAGCTAGTTACATCTTGCCGTGCGCTAGTTATAGCTTGCCGTGAGCTAGTCACATCTTGCTGTGAGCTAGTTACATCTTGCCGTGAGCTAGTTACATCTTGCCGTGAGCTAGTTACATCTTGCCGTGAGCTAGTTACATCTTGCCGTGAGCTAGTTACATCTTAACGTGAGCTAGTTACATCTTGCAGTGAGCTAGTTACATCTTGCCGTGAGCTAGTTACATCTTGCCGTGAGCTAGTTACATCTTGACGTGAGCTAGTTACATCTTGCCGTGAGCTAGTTACATCTTGCCGTGCGCTAGTTATAGCTTGCCGTGAGCTAGTCACATCTTGCTGTGAGCTAGTTACATCTTGCCGTGAGCTAGTTACATCTTGCCGTGAGCTAGTTACATCTTGCCGTGAGCTAGTTACATCTTGTCGTGAGCTAGTTACATCTTGCCGTGAGCTAGTTACATCTTGCAGTGAGCTAGTTACATCTTGCCGTGAGCTAGTTACATCTTGCCCTGAGCTAGTTACATCTTGCCGTGAGCTAGTTACATCTTGCCATGCGCTAGTTACATCTTGCCGTGAGCTAGTTACATCTTGCCGTGAGCTAGTTACATCTTGCCGTGAGCTAGTTACATCTTGCCGTGAGCTAGTTACATCTTGCCGTGAGCTAGTTACATCTTGCCGTGAGCTAGTTACATCTTGCCGTGAGCTAGTTACATCTTGCCGTGAGCTAGTTACATCTTGCCGTGAGCTAGTTACATCTTGCCATGCGCTAGTTACATCTTGCCGTGAGCTAGTTACATCTTGCCGTGAGCTAGTCACATCTTGCTGTGAGCTAGTTACATCTTGCCGTGAGCTAGTTACATCTTGCCGTGAGCTAGTTACATCTTGCCGTGAGCTAGTTACATCTTGCCGTGAGCTAGTTACATCTTGCAGTGAGCTAGTTACATCTTGCCGTGAGCTAGTTACATCTTGCCGTGAGCTAGTTACATCTTGACGTGAGCTAGTTACATCTCGCCGTGTTAATAATGTCGGCAGCGCTTTGTGTTCTGGGAATGTGCAGCCTGGATTGCGGTCTCCACCGCCCGCATGAGGCGGTGGCTCCTGCACGCTCCCTCGCCTCCTCGTGACAGCTTTAAACCACAATTGCAACAAAAGGCATGGCACACTCTACCCCGTCAGGGCCCGACACCCGTAATTACAGCCTTTCTTTATCCACAAGCTGAAACGAAGCAACATTTTAATCATCTCCCGGGTAAAAAATGTTTTTACTCTATCAATACATTTAAAACGTAATAATAGAAATGCAATTTACGTATTCGTAATAAGAGTAATGGTGCGCTGGTGCATACTATAAATCTTCCGACCTGCATTCGATTCCCGGCCACGGTTAACATCGGTGGCGAGTGATGTCTGAACTGATGCAGTGGTTAGCGCACTGTGTTGTGACCTGAGTTTGATTTCTGCCCATGGCTAACACCCATAGCATATGATATCTGAACCACTTCAAAGTCATCTCCTCTTCACGGGCACCATGGTGGCAAGATGTTAACTGCCTCGCCTGGTGTAAAGGAGGTCGTGAATTCCCTGACGCCTGCAAATTTGGAGTTTGCATGTTCTCTTCGTGGTCGCGTGGATTTTTTTCTCCGGGTCCTCTGGTTTCTCCCTCCACATTAGAAACACGCGTTTAGACTATTTGGCTGCTATAAATTTCCACGTGATAAGCCACTTCGTTGACCTATCATTTGTGGCCAGGTCGCTTCTGAAAAAGAGCTATATAGCTCAGTGGGCATTACTTGGTAAAATAATAAATAGCTTAAAATTTTTAAATAGTTTACTAACCTGCACTGACCAGGATGCTGAAGTACGGTCAGGCGTGCAGAGGCTATTTTCATCCAGCATTGAATTGACAATGGGCTGTACATCATGATAATAGTCATGTCAGGAAAGCCTCACGGAGTCTCAAGAACTCAGGAATACCCTGCATTGCAGAGTTTGGCCAATTTCTACGTAGAGAAGTGCACCGCTGCACGTGGGAAGATATTGGCAAGAGAAGTCCATTCGATGACTCGAATCGGCCACAAACAAAAATCCACCAACAGCTTGGAACATGAAAAAATTCAAGTATAGCGTCAACCGCACAAACCTTTTGCTGCTGCCAGAGGCCAGAGTTAGTCCACCTTGACGGAGTCAACATTTCAAAGGGGTGAAGTTTATAACACAAACTATGCTCGCTAGAGGATACCGGAAACACACAAGGCAGCATCATTGTGATTAGCGCCGGGACGCGGGGGTCGTAACGAGGCGAGGAGATAACCGCGCGTGCACCTTTCCGTTGCTCGTTTTCATCACGGTGACAGTTGACGACTGGGCAGGGCATACTGAGTGATTCATTCATTCACAGCAGCGGCGACAACAGACGTTTTGTTCAATGACAAATGAAGATTTAACATTTGCTTACTCATCCATTTATAGTATCCTTATTTTATATATTTTTTTGTATTCACGGTAACCAACTTCATTGCATGGGATTCACACGGGACCCCGTGCTACCTGTGTCCGGTTGAACGCGGTCTTCTTGAGCAGGCAGGGCCTTGAGGCGGGCCAGTCGTGTCATAAGTCTTGCTCTCACAATCACCTGCATTGACGGCACCACCACCACCACCACCACGATGTTACTTACAGCCGGGACGACTCGTGTATTCAAGTCAAACAATTGACTCAGAATTTTTATTTTATTTGTCGATTTTTCTTTCTTCAATTACTGAGGCCCCTACATCCATCCTCGTGAAGGCAGGAAAATCCCTCACAAGCCAGGGCCAGCGTGGAGCGGTTAATTGTGCTAATAACACCACCGGGCTCTGCTCATTATTCCCCACGTACGCAATAATTGCGAATAAACCAATTGTTGATAAATTAACGTCAAATCACATGCTCGTGATACATGTGCAATTAACTGTACATGTAAGAATAGGTTTACAATATATGCATATTACATGCAAAAAATATGCTGATAGAAAATTACAACACTGCAATACAATATACATGTAAGTGAAAAGAATCAAAAGATACAACATAAATGAGACAAAAAATGCATTCATTCTTAAATTGAGTCGTGACTACAAATTGTGACGATTCATCACATCACCAGGGAAACGCGGGCGGAGGGGAGGGGCGATGGATTAATCATTGCCCGCGTAAAGAGAACCCTTAAAATGGAATTGTCCAAACATCCCAATGCAGCAAACTGCTCAGCAAGAGACGAGATTGCTGAGGCTTTCCGAGATGGAGAAATTAACATTATTACTTTGACGAGTACTTCGCATCAGCACTGCTGCGTAGGCTGTGGCGGTTGTGCCGTACGTATCAGCTCTCCGCTGTGTGTTTTTCCCGGGGTTGTACCACGTGCGGCGTCCTAAACAACGCGTGGTGCAACCTGAAGTCCACGTCGGGCAGGCTGTGCAATGTTCAGGCTTGACTACAGCGCGCTGCCTGGCACGCTCCCCTGCATCCGCCATGTGTCTCGCTCCCTGTACCGTGCCTGACCTTGCGGGCCGCTTGTTGCAACCGCTCCAGCGCGCGCTGGCGGAGAGGCCAAGGATCGTTCGCGAGGACATCCATGCCGGGCGGCACAGGCAGCTCCTGCACGTACAGCGCAATGCAAGTTGGACGGTTTGCAATGAAAGGTAGGGGTGCGAAAAGGTGCAGCCCTGCAACCGCTTAGCCTACGCCGCTGCTTGCCGAAGGGCATCCAATCGGGCGAGCTCAAACATCCCCCTCTGGAGGGTATTTGGCCTGCTCTTCCATGCCGGCCAGATGCCGCGGAAGAGGTGGGAGTGCCCACACTTTACCCCACCACACGTGGCCTGCTGATCGACTTACAGTGGTGTACCGGTACGTACCGCTGGGCGGACAGAGAAGGGGTGGAATGAAATAAACTTGCAACATATTATCAACTGCCATGCCGAGAGATCTAAATGGACCGGCAAACCCCTGGATCGCAAGTGCGATGCGCTAACTGTTACACCGTGGCAGCAGCATCCCTAAAGAATCTAAATTTGACTATATCTCTAGACGTGGTACAGAAACAGCGAGACATGCCCATGTAGAGAGTAGGAAGAAGGGGTTTTGCAAAGCAGGAAATCATGGATAGAATTATTGCCAGATAGGGAAGTATGGTGACAATGTGGTAGAACTGGTGGGGGAACTGGAGTATTTTGATTCAACGGAAACACAAAACAAACTATCAACTCGCTGCACTTGAGACACCAAACGTAATCACGGGCAGCTGAAACACCGATATAAACCCAGGGTGTTAGTCCCCTGAGCCACGCAGCCGCCCCACAGTCCCACGATCCTAACCACCCTTGAAGCAGCTGGGAGTCTTTGTCCCGGAACCGTGAGCGATGGCACCTGCGAGATGAGGCGGCAGGAACGGTGTGAGGTCAACACCGTCTCGACGCTTGGTTGCGCGAGCACACCAACGTGCTCCCCTCGGCTCCGCTGGGGGGGAGAAAGGAAGCAGAACGCGGGATGAGGGGCAGAGTGCGGCGGGTTCAGAGGTTAGACAATAAGGGTCAGAGGAGATATGACAGGGGTTAGAGGTAATGAGGTTGTGTGGCATTAATGGCTTTGGAGATGATGACACCCTGATCTTGAGAGATCACGGTGATTGTAGAGCGGATGCACCATCGCAGCGCAGGCAGTGCGGTGTCGGGAATGGAGGGGGGACTGCGCGGCTCATTGGCCAAGCCGCAGAACGCGGCCCCACCGCCTGTGTGGCAGCGCCACGTCCCCCATCAAGGCGAGCGGCGCTCGCGACCGGAGGAGGCAAGGGGCACGACCGCCCGCCCGCGGCGGTCGCGTGCGCTAAACGAGGGCTGCGGCGCAGGGCTTCCCGTGAATCCCGTGTCCCGGCCGTGACCTCGCACCGGCAGCAAAAGAGGTGGCGCAGAACGCGGCGGTGATATCAATCCTATAGTGGGTGGTACAGAACGGAGGGCTTATCGATGCACCGGGTCGCGTGGCTCGCTGGGGCATTGGCAGAAAAGGTGAGCCTTCTTCAGCATCTAGGCGCTTCCCTTCAGGTGGGTTCACAAATAAGCGATCAGTTGGGCAACTTGGTTGCAAGCAACTCAATCCATCTCTGCTGTGAGCAACCGGTTGTGCAATAGTTTGCAACTGGTTGCTCACAGCAGAGACGGATTCTGCTCAGCGATTTCTAGCAACATATTTAAACACGTGCCACAAGGCTACGATTGGTCGTGACCAATCCTAATGCGGTTTAATTCGCCGTTGTAAAGAGGCAACACATCCACGCGAATATGATCACCAATAACAACAATAACAACAAGAGAATGCTCTCAGGATTCTTGTGCATTACAACACCATCGGCAATTAATGTAGCGATTGATTAAAAGAACTGGCAGCGCCACGAGAGCCAGTCATCGCGATTACCAGAACAAACTACGAGGGCAAAAGACACACGCAGACGCTTCCTAACGAGGGAACATTGCTGCGCAACCAATCGCTCAGGAGTGCAACCGCCGTGAGCCATCGGTGGCGCTTCAAGGATTGCACACACCTCACCTGGTACTCCAGCACCGCCACTCGCAGTGCCTCCGCGAGTTCCCATTTCTCCCGAGATGACAGCGGCTCGCTGCCCAGGTGAACCTGCCTGCACACCCGCAGACACACGCACACACGCGCAGACAGACACACGCACACACGCGCAGACAGACACATGCACACACGCGCAGACAGACACACGCACACACGCGCACCATGTGCAGAGGTACCGTGTGGCCGTTTGTTGAGAACTACTCTTTGTGTTTAGTTTGTTGTCCTATCCCGCACCTCTGATTACAACGGTTGGCTACGTACGGTGTGAAAGAAGTTCAACATACATACATACATACATGCCGACTGTGGGACAAGAGCTGTTAGCGAGTACCCGTTAAGTCCGGGACAGCATATGGGGGGAGGAGGGAGAGTGGTTCAATGTGGCAAGCAACATTCCGGGCTAACTTTTGTCTCTCTGTTGCCGGTGTTTGCACATAACACAATGTTAATTGTTATTATTCATCCCCATGGTCTGCCAAGTGGGAGAGCAATGAAATAATTATACTGATGATTTCGGCTTGTAACACGCAGAGTATTCGCTCACTCTCGTAGAGAGAGAGAGAACAAATGGGAGGTGCAGTCCTCTATGTGTGACGGTGTTATCGGCCAATAAGTGTTTACACGTGGGAGGAGGCCAGAACACCCGAGGAAAACCCACACGGGTGCGAGGGGGAGACACTCTATCCCATACAGATGGAACAGATGGGGTCCACATGTTTGCTGTACTGCCTTCTCCTGGCAAGCCAGGGTCATGGTTACCTCCTTGATGCCCACAACATCCGTGCGGTGACCCACCGACCCCCGCTGCTTCCACAACGCTGAATCACGGGTCACGTGCATAGCCACCACCACCACCACCACCACCGCCCGGGTACAGGTGGCTGTGGGCTCTGTTGGTGATGTCCCCAGGCTGGTGGATAATGCCCTGAGAGGGGGGTGGAATGCTCACCAGCGCAGCATGTTGGCTCGCTCCTCCCTGGTGAATCTCGCTACTTTCTGCAGGAAGAGCGCTTCGGCCGCATGCCGAGACCCCTGCCCGCCTCCTCCTCCTCCTCCTCCTCGCTCCGCTGGAACCGCGGGGCGGGAGGGAGAAGAGCGAGGCAGGCTGTCTCACAAACAGAAATATTCAACGGACTTCGACGTACGTGACACAAGACAATCATACGGCGTCATTTTGGAGAACACCGTGTAAGTAACACGATAAATGAGGAGACAATATTGCTCCCTCACGTATCTGTCCCTCCACAGTTTTCCCACTCCGTGCAAACACAAGGCATTCTGGGGGCACGTAGTTTGAGCGGCATTGGTTCCGTACAAGCACTATCTACGTCGAAAATGGCCTAGAGTTTGCTTGTCATTCAACCAGGTGTGTTGTGGACGTTTTGCTTCTGCCTGGTATTCACGTTGGAAAATAATCTGACATCCGTAACAAACTCCTGCACTGACTGTCCCCGTAAATTGCGGCGCAGCACTTCCCGACATTTCATTTTTACGACCGGTTGAGTGAACATTATGATTGGCTGGCGCAAGACTTACGGACGCGCTCGGTGCGTCTCGCTGCGCGGATGCGCGTCGTGCGACGCGGAGTGCGCCGTGAGGTCGAGCCCCCTGCACCTTTGTCACCGATTCGGTGCGACGCTGCGAGTTGACTCACAGAGGCTCTTTAGGGCAACTCTATCTCAATACTGAACAAGAGGGAAGAGGTCCCGGGGGATGGAAGGTGCCTGGATTAGCAGGTGAGAGATTAAGTTTACGAGTGGGTGTTGGCGTCAGAAGAATTAGCTTGTACGTAAGTGGGTGGATGGGGGGGGGGGTGGATGATTAATTTGCTGAGTGAGTGAACCTATACGTGAGTAAGTTGGGTGTGAGCGAGTGATGAGTATTCCACGAGCATATGTGTGACACATTGTGGGTGATACGTACCTTACATTGCTCACTCACAACTCCTCATTAGGACCATATCTCAGCTGTGCTCAAGTCTCTGCATTGGCTTCCAATTCAAACCCGCACCGAGTTTAGGCTTCTCCGACTCGTGTTCACGACTTTAAACAGGCAAACTCCACCATACATCCAGGAGTTGATTTAGCCACACATTCAGCAATACGCTCCACTGAGATCTCTGAGATGCGGCGTTGCATGCCCTACTCAGCTGACCGCAGTGCTGGCACCAAATCTGGAGTGACCACCAGGATGTTGTCCGCGTGGGCGCCCGGCCTCTGGAGTTCCCTGCTCTTATAGGTCAGGGACTCTCAGTCGATGGAGACTTCTAAGTTCTGGCTGAAGAGCCCACCAGGCGTTTAACGAAGCCCCCTTCTCTCTCTCTCTAGTTCTCTATCCGGTCTCTTGAGTCTTTCTCTCCCCGGTTACTTCTCACTTACCTTCCTCGTTTATTCGCAAGCCATTCTGCAATACATTGTTTAACGGTGCCGTATAAATCTAAATTATTATTTTATTGGCGATTATGAGATGCACTTTTGTCCCCTGTATTAAAAGCAAAAGTTGGGGGTGCATCTTGACAGAATACGTTGGTCTTCTGGAAGACGCGTTTTGATTTGGTTGTTCAGAATCATCTTCTGAAAGACGGTTCTCCATGGCAATACATGCCCACCCAAAGGATGGAAGGCCACCAGCATGGATTCATAATCATCTTCCAGAAGATACTTATCCTGATTTTAAAGCAACACATCCATAATCCTCTTGTGAAGATGCCTTTGACGATTATAAAACAGCCTTTTATTCTCAGTGTCCACTCCATATTCCGTTTCTTTAGATTCTACACACGTGCTTCCCATTTCCCTTGGATGTGGACAAATATGGATTGAAACAAAAATGATTTATCCAAAGTTTTAGGTGCATCTTGCTTTGCAGAGTGTCTTGTAATCCATGGAGTATGGTATACTGTGGTTATGTGTAGATTTGAGTGTTTGGGATTGACGATCGGTGATTAGTGATGCGTTTTAGGTGGTGTGTTATTGGTGATTGACAAGGTCGTGATGGCCGAGTATTGTTTTGGTCTTCTGGTGTACTGTATATTGCATGTGATTATACGACGAGAAAAGTATTTTGGTCCATTTGATCATAAATTAAGTGTGTGATTGTAGGATGGGTGACTGTCTGAGTGGTGTGTGATGATCTGGAACAGTGGTAGATGAGTGATAGGTGGCAGCCTATACAATTATGGATATGTTATATGTGCTGGTTTGGTACTGGTTGGTCGTCAGGTGCGTACCATCCCGGAGATCTGTTGCATGGGATCGGTCGGGCTGCTCACGAAGGATGCGACTCACAGCGAACACGGTGTCCAGGCGCGGCGGCACGCCCAGACTCGCCCCTCCTGCAACCACCCCGCTCATCGATCCCTGCAACGTCTCACACACACACACACAGCTCTGATCTGCTGGCAGGCAGGGCATGAACTACGTGGGACCACTACATCTAAGCGAGCCGCAGTCTCCACAGCAAGTAAGGTCAAGAGGTCTTCGTGGCAGATGCTGATCATGCTACTACACTACATTGTCACTAAGTTGTTTCTTTCTGCAGATGAATAAGCCCTCGTTTTTAATTCAACCCAAGAGCTCATGCAGGGAAGCCCCGCCGGTGTAGCTGTTGAAGTATATCTTAGCTGTATGAAGTGACAAGCTCAAGAGGTCATGACAACCAATATCACCGACATCCATCAGGCCTCCACAGAGGATATTGAAAGGCTCAAATGACCTCGAGATCCACAGGTAACATTGCTAATTCCATCTTGCCATACGAAAGAAGAAGTCAATTCCATGAATTCCACCGCACACCATCATTGCTTTCCTCCTTTTCTAGTAACTCGCACAGCTGCTGCGCAGTCAGTACCTGACCTGTAGCCATTTTGCTCTTAAATTAGCCTACTACGCTACAATCTGGTTTAATGTCTTCCACTGGTGGTAGGCATTTGGGTACCACTCCAATGCCTCTCTTGGTAACCTGCCCTCCTCCTTCCCGCACATATACTTTGGCCATTGCAACCTCCTCTTCCTGATTCCTGATATCTGCATTACTCGCTTTTCACTTTCTGGAGTGAACCTCCCACTAATTTATCGTATCCTTTTATAAAATTCCTAACATCCTCCGCATACACCCATGTCAACAGCTTATTTTCTAGTCGCTTTGAAGAAGTCCAGTTCTCTGGCCCAAAGTGACTCCAGCCTCAAACACTTAACAGTGATGCTAACCTCTCCACTCTTGCAACGTTGTTTATACAGCCCATCAAAACAACACTTTGCCAACAAAATACGTCTCTTGACCACATTCTCACAACCCTCTGTAGTATGCACATTACTTCCTAAATACATAAAGCTATCTATTTCTTTTCACATGTTCACCTTCAATGGTAAATAGGAGTGTTTTTTGATGATACTATTTCGTCGAATTTTAACCTGACCCATAGGGGAGGTGGCATGGTCTAACGGTAGCGAGTTCTTTGCAGGTTGCGGAGTTTCTCTGTTCCGATCCAGCGGCCACCCTGATTAACACCTCGGGTGTTATGAACCGTGAACATACTACGAGCCATGTCCTCGCTCTCAGTAATTCGCAAGAGAGTAGGCCATTGTGTGGCAGCGCCATGATCAAAATTTGTCAACAAGTAATCCGTAAATTACTCAATTGGGATTATACACAGCAACTGTAAAAACCTGGCAGGACCCTCCTGATCAAGAAAAACTCACGAGACTCAGTGAGGTTCGCCTAGGTAAACAACTAGATCAATAACACGAGTAAAAAAAAACACATTTTATTTGATGTTTTACTGCTATCAGTTCTGAGTCGCTGTGGCAAGTTTCCATGACATTCAATGTATTCCTCCGCATTACTTGACCTAAATAGATTTTCCTCTAGAGCGCCTATAGATGCTTCAGGTAGTCAGATGCTAAATATATACAAATTCTCGTCTCGACACCTGTAATAACGGAACGGTATACCAATGCACAAACGCTACAGGGAGATCTGCGCTTTAGCAGCTGCTGATGTTATGTCTCACACACACACAAACAGGCTCAGTGGCACTGCTCAATGTCACAATCACGCAACGAGACAATGTCTCCGCCTGATAAAGACCGCTTGTGCTGCGATTGAAACGTCGTGGGTTTATTGCTTTGATCATTTTCAATTTATTTAAAAAAAAAATTCTATCCATGTGACTTTACCGAAAGAACCAAGAATATGAACAGCATACCGCTGCTTATAAGTAACCTGCATGGCACTCCAATGTCCTTGGTCGTCCGACAAATACATATTGCCAAGTAAGAGTTGTGCAGCAAATGGAAATGTGGCACGCAAGGTTATTCAACTTCATTAGGATGGCACTTTTGTTGCAAGGGCATTATTAGAACGTATAACCAAGTCTTTTCAGACGAGGAAATGAGACCTTGAATCGATTGCTTACGATGGTAATATCGTCACCTGTTTTTTTTTGTACAGAAAAAAAACCCCCCATTGAGTCTCAAGACTATTTTCAGGAGAGTCATGCGATTGCGAAGTCAAGAAAATTCATTTTTTTAACAAGATTTTTTCACGTGAAATTGAACCCAAGTGCCTGGAAATCCCATAAATCTACGTGATTCATGCCAGCCTTCGTAGGCGCCCGGCACTTACCCCAAAAGTCGGAAAAGGCTCTACGGGGGATCTTTAGGTCTTTGTTTTGTACATGCGCCCGAGTGTTCGCTGGGGTGGTATGACGTACACTGCGGTGGGAGGAGAGTTGACCGAGGCGGCGAGTTCTCCGTGCCTGTGGACCCTGGGAAGCGGTTGGGCTGGGAACCGCTTTGCTGCTCCGATCCTCCTTGGCTGCCCGCACACGACTACACATACACGATACGGCATTCATCCCGGGGGCACGGGAAAGGGTAAATGTAATTTCATGCTCAGGCCACTCTTAGCAGAAGGGCCTCCAACTTGCCGATTGTCTCTTCTTACCTGCTGCACCATGGCCAAAGGCAACACTCTGGCTTGTAGCATTCTCGGCACATGTCTCGATTATTGCAACGCCACCCTCACTGGAACGTGGGTAAAAATATCTCAAGAAACGACGGCGGCTTCAGAGCGACCTGTCTTGCGCTGTGTCCTGGGCGTTAGGTGCTCATGCAGCTTCCATAGCTTCGCTGAACACGTTGCGCCAACTCATTTATAATAATTTTCATTTGGAAGGCGCGTTTCATCCGTAGATCCCAATGTGCCATGGGTACAGTACAACATCGCTATCCTGTGACACCGAGTTCTCTTCCAAGGTCACACCACTCCACCCTTCTCACTCTACCGACCATGGAAAATCGGCGCGTCCTACGGAGCACATCTAACAGACGGCTGATTGTACCCAGAACCAGCACCGGCCTGGCTTCGCGGTGTTTCCGGGTAGCTGCACCGGCAACAGCAGCCGTCTGGAACGCTCTCTCTCCCACTGCACATTCGTTGCATCAAAGCTTTATCCACCTTTTAGCAGCAGCTCAAGGCTCACTTCTTCAGGCTCTCACCTCTTCAGGCTGACATGTGAGGCGCTTTGCGTTTTGGCTCCACACCTCCAAATTCTCAAGCGAACAATGCGTCCGATTCAGAACGTATGTGCATTATTAATTGTTGTTGCTTGTCCAGCGTGCTAACCATTACACCACGGACGCATTCAAATGCAACCTTTTGAAAGGAAGAGACAACCTTAGTAAAATACTATACAGGTGTGCGTGATGAAATACGTCACGATACATTTATGAGCGTGTCAGTGGTACCAGCAGGTGAGCAAGAGACAGGTGCACTGAGTCTTGGCTCGGTGTCTCCGAGTTTGCCATTGAACAATACATCTGCTTCGCGAAAGGTGTGCGTGTTCTGAAACATTTTCAGATCTTTCACGTATTACGCGCGTCTCTCACCGCGCGTGCGTTCCGGGCGTGCTCGTCCCTGTCACGGTGCACTCGAGCGGCTGGGCGTTGAACTGCGATACGAGCAGTGAGAGCGTGGCGCGGGCCGTGCAGAACTCGCGCGGGGAGAACCGCACCGCCAAGCGCGTCTCCCCGTGGGCCGGGATCAACCCTACGATGCAACGGCGCGCACACGCAACACACGCGTCCCGCGTCAGACGCCGCTGCACCCTCCTCAACGCGGGCAAAGCAGAGCGCCGTTACACCACAGCACCTCTTCCGATTTATCATTATTGTCATTGTTATCGCACGCTCGTCTTGCCGAGCCAGGCGGATAACTGCCGCTTCATCATCGGTGCAGGGGGAGGGCCTCGAGACCACCGTCGAGTCCGGCCAGGGGCCACTCGTCGACAATGTGCGACCCGGTGTGTCGCTGACCACATCCCGTTGGCCCCAGGCTTGGAGGTCGGCTGCACGCGAACCCTGGCCGGTAGGGAACATGCTGAGCAGGGCCCGTGACCAGCGTGGCAGGAATATAAACGGCGGCATCGGCGATGAGAAAGAATTGGGATCGGCATTCTGGTTGCGCTCCCCGTCGGTACTGGGACCTGTCTGGGGGGAGCTAACAATCCAATCTCACGGACCGCATTCTTCAATGAATCTCAATCGCTTTGCCAACCAATAACCTCGGCGAAGTGCCACCCTGAGAATTATGAACAATTGGGCCGGCACTATGAGTTCTTCAACTTAACATTGAGGCTCTTGTCGGTTGCCAAGCACAGCCAAACCAGTGACCTCTTCCAATGGCCACCAACACAGCGGGTACTATGGCCGCTCAACAGTCAATAACAACTTAACAAATAGTAGTTTGTTGCAGCCGATAATATGAATCATAATAGATTTAATGTTAGGCCACATGCTGATCTAACCAAATTATTATGGCTGTCAGGTGGAGGTTGGTTGCACGACCTAAATGTGGCCCGATTGTTAAGCGACCTGACCCAAAATCATTCAATAAATATGTTTGGTCATCTGGTGTAGATTCATTGTGAAGAAAGCAGGAACATCTGGGACCCGAGAGGCTTTGGGACCAAACCTCCACTCACGGTTTGCACCGGGCAGCTCGTGTCAAGCCAATCTCTTGAAACGTTCTGTGGGTGCAACCAAGGCTGGAGGGCTTGCAACAAGGGTGCACCCGTACACATGGTGACAAAAGACCTCTGAATGCAGCCTAACCTAACCTACACTTACATTAAGCTTCATTTAAGGAAAGATACAATGCAAAAAAAACACTTAAAATGTAGTCCGCGTGTCCGAGGCTGTCCCAAGTGATTTTAAAGCTTGGTTAATGAACAAATACACTTTAAAATCACAGCCGAGTGCTTCAATACAGAAGTCCAGTTAATGCTGCATTATAAACTGTGGGAGTGATGTCACAGCAACATTACCGGAGTGCAAAAATAGCCTGACCTTGATTTAAAAATGGTCTATTCCCCCCCCCCCCCCCCCCCATTAACGAAACTTTCAACTCATGATAGACAGCCCAGGACATCCAGTCAAGGCGCGTATCTACAAGCGCCTTTTATTTATGGCAGCTTTTAGGCCACCGTCCACCCATTCCGGCCTACATGTTTGCCAGGCAAAGGCGTGCCCTGCTCCCCGGTGTGGTCAGTAGGCAAAAGTGTGGGCGGTACGAGTAGTCAGAGGAGAGGGATAGAGAACAAACGTTAATAAGACCACAGACTCCTATTTATATTTTGGACATTTGGACCTTTGTTTATCGCCAAATGACCCGGAATTCGATAAATCTGCTCAAATCTCAAGAGGCTAAACAGATGTGAGCATGGAGAGTGCTTGGATGGGTAATCACCACGTATAAAGCAGATGTTGTAGGCTGCTGTTGCTGCTGCATTACCAAGCCTCACTGACCAGCACGGTTAATTGTGTCCAATTAACACAAATGACCCTATAGCATGGGGACGCCCTCATCCAGCAGTGGATTTGCAAAAGGACTGTGTCTAGTACATGCACACGGAGACCTTAAGCCTATTGGTGGGTATGGGCCCCAGTGCCGTTCCTAGAGAAGGGGATACACGCAGGGTGAGATACGCGGGGCCTGGGTGAGACACACACGGGGCCTGGGTGAGACACGTGGGGCCGGGTGAGACAACTGGAGCAGGGTAAAGACACACAGCGTCTGAGTACGGCCGCTGTAAAGGACCTGCCCAAAGTCACTGTGAAAGGCTGCACCACACCCCATTGGCGAGCTTCCGTACGCGGGAAAGAGTTAGTCACCTGAGCTGGGCGTGACCGTGATCGCCGGGTTGGGCTGCGTGATGGACACCTGGAACTCAAAATCGATGGGGCAGCTGCAGCGCAGGGGAATGGCAACTTCACGGCTGTTGAGACACAACGCACGCACGGCGACGCAATGAAGCATGGCGACACAAAGCACGCAGCGACGAAGGGAAGGAAACACGGCAACACCGCATGTGCGGGGGACGCACGAGCACGGACATGACGCAACACTTCCCCGTGCGTAAGATACACGCGCAGTGACACGACAAAACACAATACGCGGGGATATCACACAACACAGGAACACAACGCAGCGGTGCGACATAAAAAGGATAAGACACAACACGGAAACGTAGGAGCACAACATACACAGCAAAACAGACAGAAATACATGGGGCAGTAACCCATTCAAGCAATGCCCAGGCTTAGCTTCCGAGATCTGAAGAGATGAAATACATTACGGGTGATTTGTTCATTAGCGCACTAAGAAATAGACGCCGGCAGACACGCAAAAGCACATACAAATAGACGCACACATTAGGCATGCACGCTTACACCCATGTGCTTAAACGCACATGTGCTAATCACACTGGTACGATGTACGTAACAATGCTTTTTTATTTTACAAAAGTATTATATTGTCAATCTTGGACAAAAACATTTTTGAACGTGGGCATTAATATGATTAAGCTGTGCGAAACGTTGCCGTGATTTTTTTCTTGTGAAAACATTTAAAAGTATCCTTGGATTGACGAATATAATATATAGCGGGTACGGCAATAATTAGCCTGTTGGCTTTGTTTAAAAATACAGCAGGGCTACGAACTCATTGACACGGGGAGAACACTAACAATGTTTATCAAAGCAAAGCAGCATCTGTGGCTATAACAGAAAGATGAAGACTAATGTCTCATGCATTTACAGAATATTACAATTATTCAGACTCGCGTGTTTATGAATACATCTACAATAGGTTATGTGAGTGCAGGTAACAGGGTTTTATGATTTAGAATGCCTGTACTCAACAGCGTGGACCAGAATCTCATATTGACAAATGCTCAATTTAGTCTAGATACTTTTACGTGTAAACGTTAATTTGCGTTTCCATCAATCGGCAATGCGGTGATTCACCAAGGGCGACGTGTTTCGGCTGTTTTGCGCAAATGTGAATCTGGCCCTATTACTGTCATCGGCTCAGACCAATTTATCCACTGATGGATGGTCACAGCAAGTCATCACCATCTCTCGATACAATAAAGATAAAGATCCCCTCCTGTATAGCCTCAACAGACTGTTGGGGCAAGTGCTGTTAGTGAGCACCTACGAGAGCCGGCACAGCACACGAGGGGGGTGGGTGGCCAGCACCACGACCTTTATTTTCCTCGTGGCGATGTTTACACGCCGCACCAGGCACTCATTTGAGGCCGAGTCGATCAATGGGAGGCCCAGGACCAGTTCAGACTATCGTCGCTGGTGTTGGCCGAGAGCGGGAATCGAACTCGGGTGGTCAGGTTTGTAGCGCGGGGTGCTGACCGCTGCACAACAAACCGCCTATCACCTGCAGGTGAGCCGATTTCATCGCTCCATTATTTACGGTGCATGCCCTCCCAGCGACGCATCTCATTTCTTGGCTGCCACTCTGTCACCAGTCTTGACCACCGGCCACCGTCCCTTCTGGCAACATGTCCTGCCCAAGCCCACTTAATTTTATTGGCAGCTAACGTGATGTCTCCAACCTGCAATATGTTCAAAAATCCACATGTTGCTCTTTCTGTCTCTGAAGTGTGGTTACAAACGTGCAGCTAGTTGCTCATCATCCACTGCAAACTTCAGAAATTCAACGGAGGTATAGAAGCAATTAATTCAGCCTCACCTGAAGCTGTCGTGTGGTGTTGAAACTTTGATGTAGACACGTAAGTTGATATCCACAAAGACATACGCAAGAAGAGGATCCAAAATATGCATTTCTCCAAGCTTTTGTGCCACTTTTCAGCTTCAGTTAAATTTTCTTCATCGTGTTTCTGATCCACTTGTGACAACTAATAATACGCACCGATTGAAAAAGGCACATTCTTCAGACACACTTGTATGTCACTTGCACGGACCAAACTCGGGACAGTCACGAGCAAAGGGAACGGGCCACATTGACTGTGGCGCGTGGGACAAAACAGACGACCCCGTAGCAGGGGTCATGAACCAGGCCCTAATTGCAATTGCTACGAGGACCAAGACCCCATCCGTCACCTAATACGAAATAACAGCGAGCACACCGCCAGTGCACGACAACACGAACGCCAATTTTTTCACAAGGCGTGGAAGGTTACTCGGCAATGATGAACGTGTGCAATTAAGATGGGATTTGGTTTACTGGCCGTGCCTGTTTAGGGACGCAAATGAGGGCGGGGGACGGGCGGAGGGGGGCCACGCCACAGCAGCAGGCGCATGGCGGCGCTGAGCCGTGCCGCGCGGGGCGATCGCCGATCGATCAGCCCGACCTCCGGAGGAGACCGCTGCCGTCGGCCGCCGCTGGCGGGCCTCGTATCGTCGCCCTACGCACGGCGCGCAACGACGACGAAACCATCACGCGTGCACTCGACATACACACAAGGGCATTGCCCCCTGCACGTGTGTGTGTGGGTTGTTAGATATGGGGAGCGCTAGCGTCGTGGTTAACGCACGGCGGCACGGACCCGGCGTCCCCACTCCGATTCCCGCACACGGCCAATACCTAGTCGCAATTATCTGAACCAGTCCTGGGCCTCCCCTAGATCGACTCGGCCTCAAATAGTATCTGGTGTGATGTTCAAACATCACCACTGGGGAGGCAAGGGCATGGTGCTGGCCACCCACACCCACGTGTGTGCCATGCCGACATTCAAAGGCGCTCGCGAACAGCACTTGCCCCAAAACTCTGTCACGGCTAAAACTGGGGATCTTCATCGTTGTTAGTTAGATGTGGGGCGCAGTGGCGCAGCATTTTCAGCACTGAAACTATCAATTTGTTTTGCCCGAATACAATTTCTGGCGACTGTGTTCTCCATTTCTTGAGACACGTAACATAAATTTCGATTTAAAGCTTTCGTGACTGCAGGGATTCATATTCCGTAACATACTCCGTACAACTGAACTGATAAAGGACCCCAGTGCAGAGCCCTTGTTAATAAGAGTCGGGGGAGACTGAGGGAGGCGTTCCTGAACAAACAAATTCAATTAGAGGTCCAATTTCCTTTTTGTGTGTGTTAGGCCACGTCGCAGTTTTATGCCCAAATTATTGTAATTGAATCCTCCAACACCCGAGAAGTTTATCGCGTTTTCAAAGGTATACGTGCCATCGTACTGATCGAATTATGACCGATAAAGCTACTCACCGATGGCCTGAGACTCTTCATGACTCAATTTAACACCAACGTTAAGCCGGCCGAGTCGCCCCTGACAAAGAGCCTCTGACATCTGATAAGAAGAGCTTTCGCTCAAACCGCGTAGGGTCTCCTCACGCAGTGGGCTGCCTCGGTCGACTGCGCTTCAGATACCCACGTGTCAAGCAGCAGCCCTTCTTCATAGCACGAGAATGTGCCGTGTGCGGATGGGCTATGCAGAAGGGCCACTGCCGAAAAAGTCGCCTATCATAGATTCATCCTCTTAAAGCCACAGGGTCATTGACGAATATGTTGGAGGTTTTTGTTGTTGTTGCCGTCAACGCTACAGTGGGTTCGAAACAGCGTTGGAATAGCTGAGACAGCAGCAGTGGTGAGCGGTCTTAGGGGCCGTCCATAAATGACGTCACGCGATTTTGGACGATTTTTGACCCCCCCCCCCTTTGTCACACGGCGTCACAAATAGTCACACCCCCCCTCAAATATGACGTCAAAAACCTCTGCCCCCCCAAAAAAAAAAACATGCTTCAAATCGCTTTAAACTATTGTCATTGTAGTGCGTATTTAATGTGGTGCTGCACTCTGATGTTGTAGGAAAATACATTTATTAAAAAGTCTATTTAATTAAGTAGAACGTGTTGTCTATATTTAAAGTTGCGCATTTTGATGTGACGTCACATTTCTCAACCCCCCCCCCCTCGTCACACATCGTCACAAATATCTGACCCCTCCCCCCCCACCAAGGTGCGTGACGTCATTTATGGACGGCCTTTTTACTGAACATTGCAGGAAAGGTGTTTATCAGAGTTTTTTTGTTTGTTCGTGAATACTATTCTACTTTGGTTCTTTCGGTAAAGTCACGTAGAAAATCAAATCAAATATTAATATAATACGACGTTTCGGTTGCAACACAAGCAACCACCATCAGGTAAGAATGAATGATAAAACACAGACACGGGAACAGCATAGGCAGACACACATGCAGAGAGAGAGACATACACCAAGACAAACAGGTTTGTTTACCGAAACAATCGAATCTAATACTATTCTAACAAAAATAATTCAGACAGCCCGGACATTTAATGGGAGAAGCAGTGTGGGATTATCTCAAAGCAACAAACAGCTAAACGTGAATATCAGCCAGGGTTCTGACTTTGTCCTGGAGACTGCAAGCGAGCATGTGATCGTGTTTGTTCAGGAGCAGACGGATAATGAGGATGGGGACGGGGGAGGAGGAGGCTGTTTGATTAAATGTCACCACGCTGGTCTGTGCGGTTTGGGTAATACAGCGAGAAAGACGCGCGGGAGCGTAGACGGTACCGTACAACAATGGATGTAACTACACTGCCCTCTGCTGCTCGTGCCACAGCCTTGCAGCCTATAGCGCTCAGTTTTTTTTGTGAGCGGTCGTCACCCATCCCAATCATTAATGTATGTAGAACTTATTTTTTTTTCGCGCCGTGTGCAGCCAACCATACTAATCGGACGTACTAAAAACCTAAAGCCAGATGGTGAGATACTGTATTAACATCCACGATGTTGTATAAAGCCGGGCGGTGATGGCTCTGCTGCACGTGGCCTGTAATCCAGCGCTGTAGAGGCAACGAGGGTTGGTGCACCATCGCACGAATGTTGAGGTGCCATCTACCCTTGCTTGCCAGGAGAGGGCGGTACAGAAAAAGGTGGACTCCACCTGTTCCACCGACATGGGATAGAGTGTTACCCCC